ACAAAGTTGTCCGGTCTGAAGATCTGCCCAAAAGGTCCAGAGCGGACCGAGTCCATGGTGCCTGGTTCCAAATCCACTAGGATGGCCCTGGGCACATACTTCCCACCTGAACACACACACACAGACAGCAAAGCAAAAAGTAATTTCAATGCCCCACAAAGTTGTTTCACAATTTCAAAATCCAAATTTAAAAAAGGTGAAAGGTAGTCGCTCCAGTCTAAATGGTACACGCACACGAGTTTAGACTCGCACGAGAAAAGGCGACTCCGGATGACTCGAGTCACATGTTTTTATCACTTCCATATACCGGTAATATAATAATAATTTATAATATTTTTTACATAAAATGTAAAGTGAACGTACAACTCCACTGTGCAGTGGAACAGCTGCAGTGTGGCTGTAGTACCTCATGTGGCCACTGAGTGACGTTCAAACACTAAACCTGAACAGAACACTGAAGCTGCAGTCTACACACTAGCTTGAAATAGCTTGAATAACCAAAAACAACCACAGTGACCACATCTATGAACTTTTACTAAAGCTTGTCCAGCTAATGTTCAGTCGTTTAGCTGCTGAGTAAATCTGTGATCTCAATACAGTACAAACATTGAAGACATTTGGCACATGTATGATGTTCCACTGTTTCCATCGTTAAAAGCAGAATGCATTCTACTCCATGTGAAGCAGTCCACTTCCAAACGAAATGGAGTGTTTCCCTTAGTAATTAGTGTGACTCTCTTCAAAAGCCGTGTGGCCCTCGCCATAGATCTCATCACATGAACAGCACATAGGACATGTTCACATCAGGTAATTAGCATCACATCAGGGCATCCTCCTTTCCAGAAGGTTGGATTCTTCTCAGCTCATGTGAGCAAACACAGACCTCGGTGTGTGTGTGTCACCTACCGGCGGCCTCGTTGTAGTAAACACTAATCCTGTCCAGCTGCAAGTCGCTGTCTCCGTGGTAGGATCCCGGTGGGTCGATGCCGTGCTCGTCGCTGATCACCTCCCAGAACTGAACACACAAACACAGACGGGCCGAGGCAGCATCAGTGAAGACTTACGGCAACGAAGGCCCTGCTGACAAATGGCTGTTCAAGTCTTCACAATCAACGTGTTAGTGTTGATTTTAGCATAACCTTCTAATCTAAACTTCTACTGAAACCTGATCTTTCAAAAGCCAGCATCAACCACTCATCACCTGGCTTGACACCTGCAGCGTTCATGTGCAGCGTTAGTTATGCTGCACACTCTGCAGGTTTACCCGCTCAGGGTTCGGGAAACATTTCTCAGAAAGAGGTGTCTTCGTGTACTGATTAAGCCAATTAGAGAGTGGTTTACAGTTACTCCTCTGTTGTCTGTCAACTGGTCACCTATTGAGGTCACAAGATCAGCTACAAACATGTTCTGAGAACCTGGTTCTTTCTTTGAATCCAGTTCAAGAAGTTTTCTTCCCACTCATTCTATCGTGTTGCTGATTGTACAATTTGTTCTCTCTGACCCAAAGGCTGTTTGAAATGAGGAGGCGCCTTGATCGTGATATTTATATCTGTGTGGAAACTAGAACAAAACAGACAGGATGTCAAGTGTCTGAGACAGTATATGTGTGTATATATAAAGCTATGGAACCAACAGAGCCTGTGTAGTTTATACAAGCAGTCCAACTCCTTGTTCCACTTTCAGACAACGCCAAACTCAGTTAAAATACACACACAAACTGTCGCACCAGCTCAGTCAACTGACCCTAATCTGTGCAGGACTGTGTGTGTGTGTGTGTGTGTGTGTGTGTGTGTGTGTGTGTGTGTGTGTGTGTGTGTGTGTGTGTGTGTGTGTGTGTGTGTGTGTGCGTGTGTGTGTGTGTGTGTGACTATCTGAGCTAAAGCATTTTATTGGGTCTAAGAGATGGAGAAACACTAAACATAACATCATTTTGATTAAACATAATGTACATTCACACAATCACGCTTAAAATACATTGTGATGATGCAAACTTGAAACTGTATTACAGAGTTTACAATGCGGGACAAGGAGGAGGAGAAGAGTCCACACACCAAGAAGCACCCGAGGGCTCAGAACCATCGGTGACAATCTGAACTTTTTATTGCATCTGGTTTTCCTGCAGATTTCGGGTGGACCTCCGTGGGCTCAGTGGGTGGATTCGGGCACAGATAATCCATTGGGGAGAGAGGGTGACCTCAGCTTCACCAAATCCTCTGTAAATCTTCTGGAAATCGGAGTTTCAGCCGCCGCGTATGTTGCCCCCCCCCCCCCCCCCGGGGAGGTGGATGGACAGTAAAAAGACACTCCATATCGTTGAAATTCATCCAGCTCACACTGCCTGATTATAAGGCTGCACGAGATGAACATTTGCATCATCAATCAAGGATTCGTTTCTTGATGAATCAAAAAAGTGTTCCAGTGTACAAAGTTGTACCTGCGATACACCGACTGGAGAAGCCTCTCAGACACTGAGCCACTTGTCCCCCCTCTTCCTCCCGCCTTCCAACGCCGCCCTCCTGCTGCGTTCCTCCACAGATGTCTCCTTTTCTTTTCAGCCTCTCGTTTTCTTCTTTGCTCTTCTTCTCAGAGACAAAGAGACAGCAGCTGGACGGCTCCATTCATCACGGATCAGTGACTCCAGCCTCTGTTTTGCCAACAGTTCCAAATGTGTGACTTGTTACTGTACTCATGTGCAAGATGTGCCTTGTTTATACCACCAGCCTTTCCTTGGGGGGTTTACATTTCATCTTCTGTTGTATCCCTCAGCAGAGCCAGGCTATTTGGGCTGTTTGGGTACAGCGTACTGCTCTGTGCTACTTTATTAGCCACCACAGCGCTGACATATCGCAACAGTGATTCGTTCTTTCAGTCTGGTTAATCTGTCACAGTGGGATTAAGGGAGATTCTCCGATTTCTATTATGAGTAGAATAACGTTACATCGTTTTAGTGGTGGGTTTGGTAGGTAGCCTTGTTAAATGTATTAAGTGTAAATGCAGGCATTTCCTTTATGAGCATTATGTTATCTTAAAACTGTCCAAGCGTTCAGAATGATATCTTTGACCAGGCCTAACTGAGAAGAAGCAGATGGAATAGAGTGTACCTCTCCTTACCTTTGCACCAATCTGGTTGCCGCACTGGCCGGCCTGCATGTGCACGATCTCCCTCATGGTGGCTGGTAGTCGGGGTGGAGGCGCTGCTGACCTGCTGACAGAAGACACATACAGAGTGCAGGTCACTCAGGCGAGACGCAAAGGGTGGGAGCTGCTCTGAGTCCTGGGGGCGGGGCTACCAGTACGCACCTTAATGATTGGCTGCAGGATGCAGAGCCCCGGCGCTGATTGGATGGAAGGGCAGATTTATGTTTTCAGGGGAGATTTACGTCTTGCCTCAACAGCAAATACCAGAAAAGAAAAGTATGGAGTTTGGTCATCACTGCCCCGTTGGAGCTCCATTGACCCAAATAAATGAATGGGCTCCACTATACTGTCCTATAATATACTTTACTACAATTTAATAGAGCAGAATAGTAAATCATATCTAATAGTATTCCATTTATTAATGAGAGAATAAAATCAACCATACGTTTCAAATTTTTAGGATTCGGACCTAGTTGTATCTTTTATATTTGCACTATTTGTGCTTCCTCCTACAACTGCTGCACATCAATTTACCTCCAAGATCAATACAGATGTTCAAAAATAGTACTACTGTGTATTTAATGTGTGGGCAAAAACCAACTACACCAACGAGTCAGAAGACCGACTGTCAAACTCCTGAAGTTCACAGCCGACGCAGCGGTCACCGGCCTCCTCATGAGTCCTTCAGGTTTCTGGCATCAACAATCTCCCGGGACTTGAAATGAGCCTCCAACATTGACACCATCGGGGAGAAGGCCTCGCAGAGGTTGTTCTTCCTGCGCCAGCTCAGGAAGTACAACCTCCCTTAGGAGCTTTAGGAGCTTCTTCCTCCGTCTCTCTGATGAACATCTAATCAGTCAGATGCCCCCTCACCCCACATTTGTACCACTTGCACTTTACTCATCACCTCAGTGTCGTCCTTCTTGTACAGTTTACACTTTTCTTTCATCGTAACAATTGGGTGGAGAATAATTATATTGTCTGTCGTTAAATCCTCCATGGTGTCCTCCCCCCACCTCGTCCTCAGAGGAGACAGGTCAAGGATGCTGCTCCTCAGCATCATCTCATGCGCGTCCACGGCAGCTCGCCACCACGCCACCAGGTGGCGGACGCGCGCACTTTGAATGACGAGCGTGCGGCGTGAATGCTCCGTGACGTCAGTGCTGGTCGCGTCAGCCAAAGGTCCCTGGCATCCGCGCCTTCCCCGGGACCATCAACTAACACCGCCGCAGCCACGACAGGGCGTCGCTTCCCCGTCGGCTCCCCGCTCCACCTGCGACAGGCCGCCCGGGAGGTGCGCCGCCTCCACCCGCGAGCTCAGCGGACCGCGTCGGCGCTAATGGATGAGCAGGAGTGAGGCCACACGCGCATCTTTCTCCCGTTTTATGCCACTAGTTTGGTCTGAAGGAGGCGCAGCGAACATGTTCTACACCTGCGGGCCCAATGAGGCGATGGTGGTGTCAGGTTAGTGATGCAACGCTGGGATCAACAGTCATTCTCGTTCAAACAAGGAAACGTGTGGTAACATTTCTAAAAAGTAAAATGATGCAGAACAACAATTGGCCCTTGATGGTTCTGATGAAGACGTGGAGGCAGAAGATGTGTGACTGGAGGCTGTGCTCTGTCTCTCAGGGTTCTGCCGATCTCCTCCTCTGATGATACCTGGAGGCCGAGTGTTCGTCATCCCCTGCATCCAGCAGATACAGAGGTCGGCACACACCGCGCTGTCCCTCTATAAGCCCTGACGTGGCTGACCGTACACTGAGCATATTATAGGTTGGATGATAATTATAATAATAAGATGGCAAAGGCTCTACATCCTGCAGCATACAACCACATGTACAGGAAAGAGTCATGTTAAGAACGATTAGTTGCATCTGTGTTTCGTCTAATGTGTTCTCTAACAAACGTTGACCTCCTCTCAGGAGCAGCTTGGCTTCCATCTGCGCATTGAAGCAAACAGGTTCCAGGATACATGAGGATCGGCCAGCGCTCACGCTGCTCCTCTCACGTTTCCCTCCGTCGCCTGGCAGCAGACGTGATGTTTTTGTAATCCTCTTTTCCTGTATGTGCCTCGCCGTGCGTTTCTCCAGGATTTCCCTGAACACTCTGACTCTCAACGTGAGGAGCGACAAAGTCTACACCCGCCACGGCGTGCCCATCTCCGTCACCGGCATAGCCCAGGTCAGTGTGCCGATGACTGACAGGTGAGCATGAGGACAGGTTTTCCTCAGGAGGATCGGTCCACATACATACACTTTGTTTCTTTGGGTCATTAGTTGTCGTCTTTATATCTGTGAGTGTCACTTTACTGAACAAAATTAGCAACACCTTTTTTTTTTTCCTGTTTTCCACAAGCTGAAAATGAAATAGCTAAGACCTTTTAGCTAAGAGGCTTATTACTATTAAATTTTGCATTTGTTGAAATCTCTGCTAGTCAGCGTTTGCTTTCAACTTGAAATTGAAGCAAGTGTTAACATATTTTAGTGTAGACACATTCATCGGTTCACATATCCTCACATGTATTTGCTGTAGTGAATGAAGCAGCCTGCTGTGCATCAATATCAGCATTCGTTCTATTTGAGTTGTTGCAGTCACCGATTTCTCATCTTGTGATGATTCAGCGATATGATTCTTTTAAAATCATGTGTCTTCATCCTCTTGACAATAAACGAGCCGCTGGTTTTCCTCCAGATGAAGATCCAGGGTCAGAATAAACAGATGCTGGCTGCGGCCTGCCAAATGTTCATGGGGAAGTCCGAGGCCGAGATCGCTCAGATCGCCTTGGAGACGCTGGAGGGACACCAGCGGGCCATCATCGCCCACCTGACCGTTGAGGTAAGGGCCCCTGCTGGTGTAAATGAGTCCTCGTGTGCCCATCAAACGCTCTCATGGCTGCCCACGTCTCACTTGCGTTGTTTTGATCCTACCATGACTTTGGGACCTCCTCTCACAGGAGATCTACAAGGATCGAAAGAAGTTCTCCGAGCAGGTGTTTAAGGTGGCCTCCTCGGACCTGGTCAACATGGGCATCAGCGTGGTCAGCTACACCCTGAAAGATGTTCACGACGACCAGGTAACTGCATTCCTTACGCTCCTTTTCAGAAGTTGGACATTTTATCACATTTTTCCTTTAAAAGATTTACAAATTCTGTCTCGAGTGAATTTGCACAGTGCTCCATTTCTTTGTGCTGCGCAGGATTATCTGCATTCGCTGGGGAAGGCTCGGACAGCCCAGGTTCAGAAAGACGCTCGCATCGGAGAGGCCAACAACAAGAGGGACGCCGTGATCAGGGTGAGACGTCATTCCTCCTTCTCTCCATCCGCCCGGACATATGAACGCGTCCCATTTCCTCACAAACATCTGGAAATAACACGGTTTATTTGGAAAGCTTTCCAAGAGTTCTGGTGTTCCGTAGGATGGAGTCCTAAAATCAGCATATTTGATTTTTGCAGCAAGTGCATATTTGCTGCAAAAATCAGAAATATCCCTTTATAGGGGGGGGGCTAAACCAGAAATGAGGTTTTATGAGCTGCAACTAAAAAGAGCCTTTCAGAAGATAAAAGTAAGGTGTCAGGGATTAAAACAGGAACACTCAGTACTACTAACGTTACATATGCATAAGGGCGTAACCACGCATTCCAATATTGAGAACATACCAATCTGTCTCCCCCAATATACAGCTGAAAATATGTAAAATATGTTTCCTTATGAACCGTTTGTTAAGCGAAACGCACCGGGACTCTCTGAGTGCCCGCTCGCTCCGCTCAGCTCAACACAAAGCAAATGAATTTGGGTTAAATGATTAAAATGATTGTAGATATCCCGAATCCTCTCTTTGACCCTCCCTCTTTCTCTCTCTGCAGGAGGCCCAAGCGATGCAGGAGAAAGTTTCAGCTCAGTACAAGAATGAGATTGAGATGGCAAAAGCCCAGAGGGACTACGAGCTGAAGAAGGCCGCCTATGACATCGAGGTCAACACTAAGAAGGCGGAGTCAGAGATGGCCTACCAGCTGCAGGTACCTAACAGGAACCGGGTGATGTGTGGTTGCAACCTGCAACACATTTAGTGACGGCGGAATGTTCCTCCGGCATTGTTCCAGGTAGCGAAGACGAAGCAGCGTATCGAGGAGGAGAGGATGCAGGTCCAGGTGGTGGAGCGGACGCAGCAGATCATGCTGCAGGAGCAGGAGGTCACCCGCAGGGAGAAGGAGCTGGAGGCCAAGGTGAAGAAACCGGCGGAGGCTGAGAGGTACCGCCTGCAGAAACTGGCCGAGGCTCAGCGGTGAGTCGCTCATCCGTCCTTCCAACACAACATTGGGTGAGGGGATTGGAAAAGACATGGACATTTGTTAGATTTCTATGTTTATGTGGCGCATGTAAAATACGTTTGAAATAATTCATATGGTTTTAAAGAGAGACGCTCAAAATATGAGCGCGTTGGGCCCCCAAACCCCCAAACTGATACACTATTGGAGAGTAAAGTACAGCTTCTGGTACCTTTATTGCTTAATTGTTTTGATATAACAAACTAGATGGAACATTAAGGCTCTGGCAGCGTTGTGGCATTTTAGTTTGTATATTAGTACGTTTAAAAACAAAAGTGCGCAATATACTACTTTTTAATTCTTTTACCATTTTCAATTGTAGAAAACCGTTTCCCATCACTATTTTGATCATTTGAATTAATACAATACATTTTAAGTTGTTTTTCAGCATCCTCACATTCATTCATTTGTTTTTATATCATACCATTACCATACTTCTGTCAGTGCAAATAAAGCTGGACCATCATCCCTGACCCATGTTATATATAACATTGTATATTGTTCATGATATCGTAGCATTGTGCACTGTGAACTCTTTGTGTCCGTGCTTTGTCTCTCGGTCCAGTCTTAAGTTGATCCTGGAGGCGGAGGCCGAGGCCGAGTCCATCAGGGTGAGCCACAGCTGATCCCCCAAATCGGCTTTTCTTTGAATCCTTTGAACTGGACATCATGTGGAGAATGTTGCTTAAAGTGCGAGCGTCCTCTGGTCTCCTTCAGATCAAAGGTGAGGCCGAGGCGTTCGCAGTGGAGGCCAAGGGTCGCGCCGACGCAGAGCAGATGACAAAGAAGGCGGAGGCCTTCCAGCAGTATAAGGATGGAGCCATGGTGGACATGCTGCTGGAGAAGCTGCCTCTGGTGAGACGCAACGAGCTGCGCAGTCCGATACAGCCATTTGTTAAACGCTGCTGTTTCTTGTGGTCCATCTCGTTCATATTTCATCTTCCTACAAGGGTTTTGTGAAGGTACTAACACTTGGTAATATCTGTTTCCCACCAGGTGGCAGAAGCGATCAGCAAGCCTCTGTGTGAAGCCAACAAGGTTACCATGGTGTCCAGTGGAGACGGGGAGGTGGGCGCCGCCAAGCTGACGGGGGAGGTGCTGGACATCATGGTCCGCCTCCCCGCGGCTGTGGAGAAGCTGACCGGGGTCAAAATCTCCCAGGTAACGTACCTGAGGAGGAACCCCGGCTCCATCTGGGGGTAACAACCAAAGTCCGTCATATTCCAACACGGGAGGCAGGCTGGCCGCAAAAATAAAAGCCGACCGTATTCCACATGAGTGAGGTAGGAAAACGGTCTGTCCTGTTCCAACTCGGAGAGCAATCACAAAACGTAAAAAACCATATAAATCACACAAGCACAAAGTGTCAAAGAGAGTCAGAGAGCCGTCAAACACTGGACCATGTGACCGTGGGACAGAGTTATTGGGTCTGTGAGTCCGTGTGGCATTATCATGAACTTCCTGAAGGTTTGCTTACCAAATAAACAACACAGGCTTACCTGCGCTGTCACATCTTCACATGCTGATAGCTGTTATATTTATTCACCATAATTTAAGTCATTTTTATATTAATGGCTGTGACATAAATCCGTAAACCAGCAAACGCTGTCGCATTTCTCCAGTTGTCTGAGTTTGTATGGATACAATCCTTTGCTGAATGTCGTCTCATCTCTCTGTGCTTTCCTGTCAGTCCTGTAAATCCAATAAAGGGGAAAAAATACCCCCCAAAAAAACATAAAAAACACATCTTACAAATCTGGCCGTCCCAAAACGCTCTGCTTGTATTAGATCTGGCTGGACAGAAAACAGGTCTCATGTCAGCGAGTTGTCTGCTTTTATCTATGAAAGACTAACTTCGCTCTTTCCTTCCATTCTGCAGGTGACGTCTCCTACAGGCTGAAGAGAATCTCCCCGTCCGGTTACCAGACCCCCCGGCCAACTCATTCAGTCACACAGCTCCCATGTCTGACTTGAATCCTCCGGTCAGCAGCTTCCCCCACGTAGCTGTCCGCATTACGCTGAGCTGGGAACACGCGTTAACTCCTCAAAGCGTTCACATTACGATACTTCCTGCATATTTTCTTTCATATTTCTGGCCTGTGACTTGGTTTACTTTGCCATTGGGAGGCGAGATGTGAGAGTGGCCTCTGTGTAGCCCGCCGTGTCGCATGGTGTGTGTCTGTGTTCAACCGTAACGTCTCGTCCATAACCGCCTGTCTGCTGCCAAACCGCAAGTGCATCTTACCACGAACACGCTTCATCTACTACTAACGTGCATTTGTCTAATCCCAGACCAAAGCCACAGCCTTTGGTTTGAGCCATCACTCGTTTCTCCCCACGGGGTTCATATGTTAGTTTAGTCCCCTGTATTCCATCACTATGTACATACATATACTTGACTGTTTTCCATCCACACTGGTGTCTTCTTGTCTTGTCCCGCTCTGTGTTATTAGCAGATGTTGGGCACTAACCCTCCTGTTACCTGATTTCAGGTTCTACGCTGCGTCTTTTATCCACTATATATATTTTTACATCTACCATCAGAGCACTGCAGTGGTCCCTTTAAATCGTTCTACTGGTTGCCAACAAAGTCGTCCATTGGAGTAACTCGCTCGCTGTACGTCAGGCCAGACATCAGCAGTGTACAATGTAGACGTGTTTCTGTGGTAACCCAATGCTTGGATGACCACTGTAGGTAAAGTCCTCTGCCTTTCCCAAACAGTGGGGCTCTGTTAAACAGCTTGGACGTGTATCTTGTGGTCCAGGCTCCTTTGAGCACAGTCACACGTGTTACTAGAAGGGTCCCTTTGGCTTCATGTAGCAGCTCTCATAAAGGCGTAGTTTGTGGAATTGAAGGTAAACGCGGTGTAAAGTGTAGCTTTAGCCTTCAATTGTAGCAGTGGGAACACCACAGTGACGTTATGAGTGCATTAAAATGCTGAACTATTTATCTTGTCTTTGTAAATGAAAGAATAATGTGCAGAGATGCTCGATGGTGTTTGATAGGTCCGCTCGTGCGTCGGGGAACAGGATGTTGAGGATGAAGAGATGAAGAAATTAGGATTTTGTAGCATTCATCTGGAACTGTACTTATTTGTTATGATACCAAACAATCTATGAAAGAAAGTGAAAATATATTGTATATTATGTATTAAGTATTAGTTTGCTAGTGGCGGTCTGGGAGCTGTTTGTGGAAGCCCTGAGAGGAAGAAATCATAAAAATGAATCCCCATCCCTAAATGTTTTATCTGTATTGGCAGGTGACTTTACATGTTTTGGTATCAGGATAATTTTTCTGTGTTCCTACGGATCTCTACCCCATGTTCTACCCCATGTTCTACCCCATCGTCTACCCCATGTTCTACCCCATGTTCTACCCCATCTTCTACCCCATGTTCTACCCCATCGTCTACCCCATCGTCTACCCCATGTTCTACCCCATGTTCTACCCCATCTTCTACCCCATGTTCTACCCCATCGTCTACCCCATGTTCTACCCCATGTTCTACCCCATTGTCTACCCCATCTTCTACCCCATGTTCTACCCCATTGTCTACCCCATCTTCTACCCCATGTTCTACCCCATCTTCTATCCCATGTTCTACCCCATCGTCTACCCCATGTTCTAAAAATGACGTGGGACTCTCTAATTACAGCACGCCCGAATACATGAAAATGGCTTCCTAAAGATACATTTGAAGGTGTTTGAGGGCCAATATTGTTATTGTGCATCCACACCCTGAACTTTAACTGTAATTTAGTCTTGCATATCTACAGTCAGGACGCTTTGTGCTGAGATCTGTGGTGAGCTGAGGAAAAGGGAAACGTGGCCGTTGTTCCCCTATAATGATAATGTGTTATGATGTGCACTATACATACGGATACAGATGTTTATGTACATAGTTCATACTATATATTTGATATATAATACAGTAGCACTCTTTGCTCACAAGTCACCACTATCCACTTTGCTGACTCTTTCCATGTGTGGTGTTTCAGTGTAAATGTATTTAAGCTCTAATCGTTTTTCTGTGCTATTTCAACTCACTGTTGGAGATCAGGAAGATGCCACTTTGTACCTTTTTTATTTACTGGATGTGCACTGCGACATTTTTCTAGGAAGATTCAAACTGTACCCAATAAAGTTGGAATTCAATTGAAAAAGGGAAACCGCTTATTACATTGTACATTCAACTGCTGTTTCTGATCAGTGGTTATGATTCAGTTATTGCTGACTGCACATCTGATGTCAGCATAGTTTCAGTTTTAATTGTATAACAAGGAAGAAGATCCCATGTGCGTGGTGCAGTTCAAATACACTTTCTGTTTTTTCCCCAAAATATTGCTATGTCCTTCCTATCGTCTGTATCAGAATGTGGACGTGGTTTTATTTGTCTGGTTCACACTCGAGGTCCCCAGCAGGTGCCCTTCTCTATTGTTGGCCCTGAGCAGCCCGCTTGCCGCACTAAAGAGTAACTCTGGTGTAGTTGTACCTGTTCCTGCAATCCATTTAATTGTGTCCACTGAGTCAAAACCACAGACCTATTAAACACGGCCATGGTTCTCATTAGAATTTCCTATTTCTCTGGCAGAAACTACTTCATCTGATGACAAGGTAAACATAATGAAAATAAGTTATTACATCTGAAGGATCCAAGAACAGGTGTTTTGACAACTGTTTGGTATTAACCATCCAAAACGTAATATGACATTGATGGTCTTAATAATTTCTCAATGACACACACGTGATGGCCTACTGCATGAATGGACTATTATCAGCTGGGATACAAATGGAATATAAGTTAGATTAGTTTGGGGTGGAGGGAGACCACAAGAGAACGACTCCAGGACTCAAATCAAATGGAAATCTTAAAATGTTATAGATCATCATAATATGACATCATTTGTGCAGGAGGAGGAGATGTAGGGCTTCATTTTCATTCTAAATAAATGTGTAGACAAACGAGCATTAAGATACATGCTACTGTTTCTCAAGTCTGTTTACATGATCACTTCGGATTTACTTAAAGTTTGTGTGTGTATATATAATAAGTACTTTTACTTTTCGACGGTGGCGCATGGAGTAGAGAGGGAGCACTGGGAACCGCAAGGTCGGCAGTCCGAGCCCCGGCTGCTCCATGTCCCATGTCAAAGTGTCCTTGAGCAAGACATCTACCCCCAAATTGCTTCCCGGCCAAAATATAAAAAGCCATGGGTTAAAAATGCAATGTAAGTTGCTTTGGATAAAAGCTTCAGCTAAATGACATGTAATGTAATAAGTGCTTTTATTATTTTTTTGCCAATACTTTTGAACTTTAACTTTTGGAACGCATGATTTTTACTCTCTCTCTATATATATATATATGTATTCATATTGAATGGAACTCATTTTTAATTTTTGGAACGTTTCATAAGAGGAGGTTGGATACGTAACAATAAAACAGTTCATATTTTACTGGATAGTAACACATTCCACACACACGTTTGTCTACTTGTTACTTAAACATCAAGAGGCCGATAATCAGCGTGGTAATCCTCATTAAGTTAAATGTATACATCACTAAACATTCAAATCAAAATGTACCTTTTAAATACTGGTCACCCCTGACAAAATCTCACTCCAAGAAGTTGTCAGATTGCAATGGAACGTGTATCGGGCTTTTATTTTTAAAGATCCGAGCGGAAACGTGACTGTTCACCTCTGACTTCACTCCGCCGAGCAGAGCTCGAAGCAAAAAAAGGAAAAAAAAACGAAGGAAAAAAAGGCATTTGTGAGTGGTTTGAGGGGCGGATTTGGACTAAGTTTCCCAACTGTCCCGACCCAAAGAGGCTCCGGGGGGGTCGACGGGGAGTCGATTTCACCGGTAATGAACACAGGAGTTATTAATGCGTTGTTAATTAATTGTTATTTTCAGTGTGTCTGAGAGCGCCGTCGTCCCGACCGCCGGAAGTCTGCATGAAGCTGCGTCTCCTTCACAGGCGACGGCGTCGACGTTTTTTTTTTTCTCCCTGTCTTGTTTTTTTTTTTTTTTTTATTCGACACTTTTTTTTCTCTTTTTTTATTTTCTCTCGGAGAGATGAGCAGGGAGTGAGCGATGGAGGCGTGGGGGCGACGCGGTTCGTGCTCACGACGCGGCGGGCAGGTTGAGCGTTTGAACAGGCGGGCCTCCTTCTAGCTAACGTTAGAGCGAGCCCGCGAACAAAAGGAGAAATGAACGGAGGCAAGTTAGCTAGCTTAGCTCCTCTCTCCTAGCCGCGGTAACCAGCTAGCGCGAGCCGTGTCGGTTGTTTTTTCCCCGCATGGCAGCTGGTCGGCTGCGGTGTAACGGGGACACGTAACGGTACACGCTACACGCCGAGCGGGTTGTCTCATCGCAACCACTTATAACACACCCGTAACGGCTTCCCCGCTAACGGGAGCTAGCGGTGCTTCGTGTTTATTTGGAGCCAGCTCGTGCCGCTCGTCAAACCGGGTCCCGGAGCACCGAGGCACGGGCCCGGCGACCCGCGGAGAGCCGCGGCCCCGTTGGAGATGTTCCAGCTGGCCCCTGATTTATGTAACACGTCAAAGTTTTAGGTTGTGCAACTGCAGAGGGTCATTTTTTTTTGCATGCAGTATCTGTTTGTTTATTTATTTATTTCAAAGTTGTTATTACATGAACCGAGAGTGAGCTGAAGGGCTTAACTGTTTATATTACACGCCATGTCAGCTTGACTAACATGCAATTACATGCCGGCTTTTCTTTGCATGTGGGAACATGGCTATGCATGGCATCCACAGCCTCCACATGCATACCAAGAACCAAACCTCTCAACTTCTCTTGCCGTCGGTCTGTAGCAGTAGCAACGTGTGGAAATAAAGTGCAATTTCATAGCAAAAAAAATCGAGCAATGAAACTATGAAACTTCCTTCTTTGTGCTACAGAAAACATGTTGCCTATGTGTCAGTGGGAGATGATCGGGAAGCAGAAGATTGGAGGTTAGATGATGAAAAGATAGACAGTAGTCCTAAAACCAGTCAGTGTTGTCGTCAACACGCCATGTCATGCACTCTTAAAAAGGATGTTCTTTTTCAACACATGTGCTGTACTAGTCGGCTCCGGGCAATAAATGGTTAGAATACTTTGACACAGCATTAGGTTGCACTTCAGAACTCATTAACACTGATAAAGCCACCGCTCCAATGTAGAATGTTGTTAATAGCAATGCAAACAGTAAGTGCATCGGCTGCGACACAAAAAGAGTCATTATCATTTGTGTTTTCTCAACTCTTACACTTTCCGTCCTCTTGTAGATGTATATATATATACATCCACCCCCCCCCCCCCCCCGGGATTGAACATCTTTGCCTTATTCCTTCCACACCCTCTTCTGTTAATCTGAAATATATATATATTTAAAAAAACAACCCAACAGAGTTAAACATTTCCCCTTCAACCAGGCAGATGTGCAACACCTCACACATCTTCCTGGACGTCTTACACATGATAACCTGCCACAGGTAGAAGGTAATAATCCACACACAGCGTGTCATCGGGTGGAGGAGAGGACACATGGGAAGGAAACAAACTAAGATAATGGAAATGCAGCCATGCATGGTGTTGTTTCACATGCCGGTTAAACATATAAACAAGAATAGCGAGGAGGAGGAAGAGGAGGAGGGCAGGTGTTTTCTAAGTGTGTTGCTTTTTAATTCCAGAAATAATGGACGATTCCCATTTCAACTCATCATACTTTTGGTCTCCCGTCCCCACTGTACAAGGACAGGTAGAGACAACCTTATTGTTGGAATATTCTTGACTGCTTGTGGGAATCCTTTGAAACGTGACACAACACCAGTCAATGCTTTGTCGATGAAGTTGGTTTAATCTCACATGAAAGTTATTTGAATGTGAGTTGTTGTCATGGCGACCTTTTCCTCGATCATGTGATGACTCCTGTTCCTCTCCTCTCTCTTCTCTTCAATCCCTCTTTCACGATCTCTCTGCATCTCACGCCGCCTCCCTTCTCTCCCTCTCTTGTCTCCTTCCGTCCTTCACTCTCGCATCCCGCCGATCACTTCCGATACCTCCATCATTACTCCCCTCCCTTTCTTTTGTTTTGGCCTTTGTTTTATCATCACACACGCCTTCATTGCCTCACCCATCTTCCTCACCTTCTGCTCCTGTTTTTGACTCTTCTTCCCCTTCATCATTTGTGGGTCCCTCTCCTTTATTCTCTTTCACCTTCTTCCTTTTCCATGTTCCTTTTATCTTCATAAATCCGCCTGGCCTTTTGTCTTCATCACATGCTGATTCGTCACCAAACCACTCCCTCCCTTTTCTCCTCATTCCTCACCTGTCCACCTCCTCTTTCGTGGCCTCCTTCCTGGTTTTCACTTCCTCTGATCCTGCTCCTCCCAACGTTTTTCCTTTTCCTCTTTACTGCCTCGGCCCTTCCTCTTCTTCCCACCAACCTGCCCCCTCTGCTCATCGCCGACCAGCTCGAGAACGCCATGTTCCTGAACAAGGCCAAGGAGCAGCTGGGTCAGGAGAAGGCCTCCTTCCCTCACGCCTCCGCGTCTTCCACCTCCTCCCCGCACTACCCCACGGCTGTGCTCGCCATCCCCGGCTCGGTGGACACGGGGCCCGGCGTGCGTCTGGTCCCCAAGCAGGAAGGAGGTGGGGTTAGCGCAGCGGGAGGAGGAGTTGCCATGAGTGCGCTGGGGAGCCACCTGCACACCACGCAGAACATCACCGTTGTGCCTGTTCCCTCCACTGGTATCATGACGGCAGGTGAGTGAGCTACTGCGCCCTCTTTCCTCCTTGTCATGACTCGCCACCCTCACATGTATCATCTTATATTCGTTCCCCTGCGTCACTTTAAGGCCAAGGCATGCGAGTCAGGAACCCGATAAAGTAGCCTAATGTCGCATGTTTGTTCCGACCAACAGCCACATGACAGTTTGTGTCTCCCTCTTAGCGGGGTTAGTGATTACCACCCCTCAAGGCACTCTGGTCCCCACCGCCTCCACGCAGTCGTTTGTAGCTGGACACCCCACTGCCACCACCATGATAGTATCTGCAGTGCATCCCTCAAATACAGGTAACCCGGGCCAGCGTGTCAGATCGCACCGCAATATAGGATTGAGCATTGTCAAAGTTTATGCTCGTAATTTGTTTAACAATGCATTTGTTTGAGGCCTGGTGTGCGGAGCTTAGGTGGGCTCGACTCATTTCACAGCTAAACGGTGCACTGAATTACATTTGGGAGAACGGGGAGAGTAGTGGGAAATGCAATAACAAAACCTTTATTGATAGTTGTGCTGCCTGGCTCAAGAGCTTCAGCAGCAGTCGCTGAGACGCCTCGGCTCTGATGGTGGTTTTCCCCCGAGCAATGTGAAGTACTGCTAGTGCAGTTAGGTGAACTTAAACAAGGACGAGGATCCTGATGGGATTTTCACAGATCATCCGTCTCTGTAGTTATGTTAGGATATTCAGTTTGAGCTAATCTGACCAATAGTCATTACCAAATGCATCTTTAAGTTCACACACACAACTCCCATTTCATTTGAAAAAGAGATTATTTTTTTGGACCCACCATTTATTTTTGCATTCACGTCTTTTCCTATTTTTGAAACATGGAAACATGTGACGTGCAGAACAGAAGCTGTCTTCACACGACACTGACAGGATCTCCCATCCTTTCTTTTTCTTTCCTTTGTTTTCTTTTTATCTTGTTTCCAGACAAGAAGGACAACATTGCTGTCCCTCCTGCTGTTGTCATGCCGACACCATCAAAGCGGGGCAGGAAGAGCAAACAGATGTTGGCCAGAGTGGCCGGAATGGGTGGGGTCCTTCCTCCAGGAAGTGATGCATTAATATTGGCCCACCTCGCCGCTGGTGGACAAGTGAGCGTCTCTCATATTCTTTGCATAAGGTCTCAGGTTCCTGGTTTCCTACACATTATGATGCTTCTGCCGTTTATCGTATCTTCTGTTGTTCTCTTCGTTAGCACCACACTGCTGACCCGTACGACCTGTCAAATGATGAGGATGACCATACCAACAAAGACGGCCCCAAGTCCTACAGGTAGTGGAGACTCATTTAGAAGAAGGAACAGCATTGATGTTTGTGGGTTCTATGGAACATCTGCCCTAACAGCTACTGCAGACTCTAAGCTTCGTTAAATCCCCCATAAAGGTTTTCTTCCCTCTCTTGCCAAGGTGCCGGATGTGTGCGGTGACATTCTTCAGCAAGTCGGACATGCAGATCCACGCCAAGTCCCACACGGAGGCCAAGCCCCACAAGTGCCCCCACTGCTCCAAGTCGTTCGCCAACTCCAGCTACCTGTCCCAGCACATCCGCATCCACAGCGGGGCCAAGCCCTACACCTGCTCCTACTGCCAGAAAACATTCAGGCAGCTCAGTCACCTACAGCAGCACACACGGTACTGCTCCTGCGCCCGCGCCGTTTCTGTTGTTAGAGAGTGTGTGTGTGCAGTGACTGATGTGGGGGGGTTTGGTGTTGATACTTCAGTTTCACTCATTTTGCAGTGATGCACACATGAAGGTGCAAAACCTATTTCCCATATACGCTAAGATCTTTGGGTGGGGGCAGGATCCAGTGTTGGTCCACTTAGAGTGACAGGTTTCTTTAGCTGGTTGTTGGGGTGAACTTTCTCATTCTGTCACAAGCTCGGCCTGGTACTGCATGCATGTTATTATATCACATTATATTATTATATTATATCTTTCTCTGGATCCGACTGATTAAAAGAATAAACAAGCTAAAAATAGAACAAAAGCTGCAGTGCAGATTGTTAAATAGATAGTAGTAAATTGCAGATATGGTTTATAATATAATATCAATGATTACATCCACAAAGACAACATTGATCATCAGTGTGCGTACACTTTGTATACTAACCTCAGAACAATGCACGCCCTGATAGCGTGTGCCATTGTTTCATGGAGCCTACATGTTTCACACACGCGTACCGTCATGCGTCCAGCCCGGATAAAGCTGCTACTCCCACATTTAGAATGGTTTTCACTTTTCCCAATGACTGCGTGACCATGTAAGTGATGAAAGTGCCCATTCATGCCCTCACGATAAATGTTTTAATTTGAAGTTTGACCTTGTCATTCACCATTTCCACATTTTAAATTCCCTCCATGCCGTTCACTGGGTTTCAGGCTGTTCGTTTTAAGCACCAGGCTGCGCTCCACCGGCCTGAGTTACATACAGAAAGTCATAGACAGACTCACACTCCACTCACAGCAGGCCAACAGAGAGAGAGAGAGAGAAAAGCGTGACTGTGCTTGCTGTATGTTTTTGTTCTGTGTTGTCACAACTCAGACACAGCACCAAGAGCACACTCAAACCTATTGATCTATGATCAACGCTATCGATCGCTGATCCCGCTAACGTTAACGCATGATTTGGTCCTCAGTTCATGGTGAAGTTTGGTCACTTAAAGAATCTCTCGCTGTTTCTCTGTCTGTCTGTCTGTCTGTCTCTCTCTCCAACCCCGGTTCCCCCGTGTTAGAAACCACACGGAGGCCAAGCCCCACAAGTGCCCCCACTGCTCCAAGTCATTCGCCAACTCCAGCTACCTGTCCCAGCACATCCGCATCCACACGGGGGCCAAGCCCTACGCCTGCTCCTACTGCCAGAAAACATTCAGGCAGCTCAGTCACCTACAGCAGCACACACGGTACTGGGGCGGGCCGGGCCGGGTGGGTTTGTCTTCTTGTGTGTGTATGGGAGCAGGTGTGTAGAGAGTTGTGGCGTTGTGGTCGTCCCTGACTATGCATGAGTACCATTCCTTTAACATCGGGCAGTGCATTGTGTTTTGATGGCGGTCCAGAGAGATGTTCCACCGCGTATTGTCTCACCATACAAAGGAAAAGCCTTTAAGTTAAAGAAGGGAAAAACAAGGGTAGAGCTCATCTTGACACCATTAAAAATACCATTAATATCCTCACTTGTATTTATGAATGATGGTAAGTATTAAATTACATGTCATTTAGCTGATGTCTTTATCCAAAGCAACTTACTATTGCTTTTAACTCATGGTTTTTACATTTCTTTGCCCGGGGAGCAGTTAGGGGTCAGGTGTCTCGCTCAGGGACACGTCAACATGGCACATTGAGCAGCCGGGGTTTGAACTCCCAACATTGTAATTCCCGGCGCCCCCTCTCTACTCCATGCGCCACTGTTGGCCCAAAGTAATATTTGTGTAGGGGATTGAGTACACTTCATTTTAAATTACATAATGCTGTTGTATCTCCAATCTGTGGCTTTGAATAAGAGAAACACTAAATACTTGCAATAATGCAAAGTATCATTATTTTGTTTTGTTTACTGATAATGTGCCTTACTTTGATTTTTCAGGATTCACACCGGTGACCGACCGTACAAGTGCAACCATCCCGGCTGTGAAAAAGCTTTCACTCAGTTGTCCAACCTGCAGGTGAAACATTTCACAGGTTCAATCCAATGACATTTCCCACAATAACACTCTAATATAAACTTTTTATGAAGATACAACTCAATTGAATTCATTTTATTTTGTATAGCCCAAAATCGCAAATTACAAATTTGCCTCAAAGGGCTTTACAGTCTGTACACATACGACATCCTCTGTCCCGAAACCCACCATCGGCACAGGAAAAACTCCCCAAAAAATGAAAAAACCCTTCCAAGAGGGAAAAAAGGGAAGAAGGGAGAACGTCAGAGGAGGGATCCCACTCCCGGGATGGACAGACTACAATGGATGCCATGTGTACAGAATGAACAATATATAATACATGCAATTCCTATGACAGAAATGATTCAAGTAATTGTAAGTAGTAAGCCAGGCGCACAGCAGGACCACTGCAGGGGCAACCACCATCAGATAGAACCACCATCCACAGAAGCCTGTGGGGAGGGAGAGCGCAGAGACTTTAGGAGAGGGTAATGTTGGTTTATGAGTACAGTAATATGATTAATATCTAATATATATAATGATGATGATGATGATGGCAGCAGCAGGCGTCAGCATGGCCACGGCAGGTGTCAGGACCAGGGTCCAGAAGGAACCACGATCTACGGAGACCTGATAGAGGAGAAAGCACAAAGAAACTCCCGGAAAGAAGCTGAATTAGTCATGTGCAGTAATAAAACGTGAATTATGGTAGAACAAGAGCGTGAGAGAGGAGCTCGGTGTGTCCTAAGAAGTCCCCCGGCAGTCTAAGCCTATAGCAGCTTAACTAAGGGCTGGTCCGGGCTAACCTGAGCCAGCCCTAACTATAGGCAGAATCAAAGAGGAACGTTTTAAGTTTTACTTTAAAAGAGCTGACCGAATCTGCCCCCCGGACTGAAAGTGTAACCTGGTTCCACAAAAGAGGAGCTTGATAACTGAAGGCTCTGGCCGCCAGCCTACTTTTTAAAACCATAGGAACAACAAGTAACCCAGCATCTATGGAGCCCAGCTGCCTTGTAGGGCAATAAGGTGTTACAAGCTCTTGAAGATACAACGGTGCCTCACCAGCAAGTGCCTTGTAGGTGAGGAGAAGTACCTCAAAATCTATTCTTGATTTAACAGGGAGCCAGTGCAGAGAAGTTAATGCAGGAGTGATATGGTCCCTTTTCTTAGTTCTTGTTAATACACGTGCTGCAGCATTCTGAATCAACTGGAGAGGCTTGAGAGATTTACAAGAGCAGCCTGATAACAAAGAATTACAGTAGTCCAGTCTGGAAGTGACAAACGCATGAACTAATTTTTCTGCATCACTTTGAGACAGGAAGTTCCTGATTTTTGATATGTTACGTAGATGAAAATAGGCAGTCCTTGAAGTCTTCTTTATATGCGAGTTGAAGGTCATATCCTGGTCGAAGAGAACTCCCAGATTCCTGACGGTGCTCCTGGGTACCAGAGCAATTCCATCCATAAAAACTGTATCATGTGACAGCTGGCTTCGAAGGCGCTCTGGGCCTATCAAGATAACTTCCGTTTTTTCTGAGTTTAGCATCAGGAAAATGCCGGTCATCCAAGTTGTGTTGTCTCCAAGACATTCTTGAAGTCTAACTAGCTGGTCTGTCTCTTCTGGCTTGATCGACAGTTGAGTATCGTCTGCATAACAATGGAAGTTTATGCAGTGTTTCCTGATAAGATCGCCCAAAGGAAGCATATAGAGGGTAAATAAAATCGGTCCAAGTACAGAACCTTGTGGGACTCCGTGAGCAACATTGGTGGTCTTTGAGGATTCACCGTTTACAAGCACAACAAAAGCTTAGACGAGAAAAAGTCTTAACGGAGTTTAACATTTTGCCAGTGTCAAGTTAAATGTTCCAGTTGGCTCATCAATTGTTTTATTATTATTATTTGAAGAATCAAATACCTTTTCATGGTACTTTCAACATCTGATCTATAAGCGCTGTGCATTTGGAGCATCTTGATTGTGCTGACATCCGTTTCTTCTGCTCCCCACAGTCTCACCGTCGGCAACACAACAAAGACAAGCCGTTTAAGTGCCACAACTGTAACCGTGGTTACACGGACGCTGCAAGCCTGGAGGTGCACCTCTCCACACACACCGTCAAACACGCCAAGCTGTTCTCCTGTGGCCTCTGTAACCGATCCTATACCTCGGTAAGCACTCATCACGCAACGTACAGGCGATTCTAAAGAAGCTGCCGGTCATTTTAGTCCTGGGAATACTTTGTTAGGAACGAGGTTCCTTCACCAGTGAACTCAAACAAATCATCAAACAAACGCTCTTCCTTCTTCCCTAAAACCCACTTGTTTTATTAATGAAGCGGCACACTCGCTCAACCTCAACCTCTCTCTGCCCCGCCCCAGGAGACGTATCTAATGAAACACATGAGGAAGCACAACCCCGACCCGCTGACAGTGGCAGCAACAGTAGCGGCCCGGCAGGCGCAGGGCCTCACAGCGGGCAGGGGCCGAGGACGCGGCCGAGGGAGAGGAGCGGGCAGAGCGGGCCAGCTCCAGAATCAGACCAACCAGAACCCCGGAGCGCCCGGCAGCTACCAGCAGAACCAGCAACCCTCGCAAGCTATGGTGCAGTGCCCATTCGACCTGCACCAGTACAAGACGGTGTCGGCCAGCGAGATCCAGTACAAACCGGTCTCTGTGGCCGACCTGCCAGTGGTCCACAAAGACCTCTGCCTCACCGTCTCCACCTCGGCCATACAGGTGGAGCACATGAACTCGTAGGCCGTGTCTTCCGTATCTGCAGTGTAAAAAGATCCATATAAACAAGTCATTTAACTGTATTCACGATTATGGTCCTCTGGGAAGGAAACGATGGCTCATTGGGTGGAACGTTTAGATATCCATTCACTCAACGCTTCTCTTTTTGTCCATTTTAAGAGGTTTTAATGCGGAGAACAGCGCTACATTTCTGGTCAGAACACAGATATTGTGCTTCTGGATCCCTGAGGCCACTTGTGCCAAGTGTCTCTCAGTGGACATGCTGCTCCGGAGAACTGAGACAAGTAGTTCATTCCTCAGTCCGGAGACACATTCCTCCAGTTATAGACTTCAGCGGAACCCTGATATGAGATCACTTTGGGCTTTTAGATCATTATGAATGAGATGCTGATGCAATTCAGACCTGGAGTCATCAAAAGGATGTATGTCTAATTCACCTTTTTAACTATGAGTCCACAGACAGCAGTCCAGTATCTTTATAAAAGAGGGTTGGTTTTTATCGCACCATCTGAGGATGAAGATTTGCAATATCTGTAAAATACATGAAATCACACTAGTCTCTGCAAATGTATTGTCCAGAGAAGGGGGTTCTTTTTGAAAAAATGTAGATCACATTAATCTGAGTATTGTCCATTATTAGTTATTAGCTGAAGCGAATAACAAGGGAGAGAAAGAAGACATGGAATCCCAGATGAAACTCCTAAGGACCTTAGTAGATGCGTCTTGAATATTGAAGGACGCCTCTGACACCAGAGGCTGCATCTGAGCGAGGAGACGAAAAGGGTGAGGCGTGTTACTGGATGGGGGCTAAAACCTGGGGCTGAGTCTCAAAGTGTTCCTGACGTTCTCATTTACGCCCTCCTCCCCTCAGACAGGAGCCGCTTCCATGTCGGAGCCCAAAGTCCATCCAAAGAGACGCAGCGGTCGGAGAATGCCCAAAACACGAGGAATCTGCAGCACAGCCATGAGAGGGAGAAAAGGGAGTTGGTTGGGGGGTCATAAAGAAAGCACTTGATAAAGCCTGTACTTCATGTCTATGTTTGCCATTATTGTACGTTTTCTTTTCTTTATTTTAAAAAACGTATATAATATGTATGTATTTTTCTACCAACAGAGGAACATGTGAACAGAGAAAGCTAAGTGATGCATGAATGTGAAGAGAACAGAGAGAAGAGTACACACAAAGTGTTTTTGTCTTACTATTCAAACTCCAACAGTAGTAAAGACCACCCAACTTATAATACTCCGTTGTTTGGGAAATCAGGACTGTGGTGTCTGACAGGTACTGTTATCAATCTCTTTTTTAAAGAACTTTTCATATATAACCATGGCAAATGTTATCCATGTTATTATCGGTCTGAGGCATTCAGGTTTTGGAATATACTGTACATAAAATAGAAAATGAAATAGAAAATATTTCCCTTTGTAAAAGGGAAGTATGTCCTGTGTGAAGCACAGATGGAAACTAAAGGAACAAGTGGCAAATCCTCGGCTGCGTCCCAGGTCACCTTTGGTGCTGAATCCAACCCTCCAAAGGCAGCTAAAGAATGGTGCATTTGAGGCCCAAGAAGTTGATTAAAGTACGGGGAAATATTTGTTCCCTCTCTGTAGCCGACGACTGAACAATGTTTCCCTGCAGTTTGACCAACGCTGGATAATAGCTGTGATCGACAAGAAGACCCCAGTGAGCAATCATCTATTAACACTTGAAATGATGTACGGTAATGCATCATTACTTAAACTTCATGATCACATCATTTACTACCAGTTTGGTGACCTGGGGCACTGCTGCCATGATTTTGTGCACAAGCTGTCTCCACCCAATCAGAATGTCCGGCTCGTCCTCATGTATGCTCCTCCGTATATTTTGATGTGTTTTAATGAAAAATAACACGGTTCTCAATATTCCTGTTAATGTTATTGCTGATGCGCCTGATAATAGTACAAACGGCCCGCCTATATGCTACACTTGCAGACAGTACACTCTTGCAGTTTCGTATCTTGCTCATCCGAACACTGTTTCTTCCTTTAAGGAGAATAAAGTTCCAAAAAAAGTTTATGATGGAAAAAAAAAAGAATATCTTGTCTGATTTCCTGGATTGCAATCCAGACTGCGTGGAAGTGATGAGAATGAACAATTATATGATGTTTAGTTGTGTGTTTGTTCCTTGGTAGCTGACTGATTGGAAAGCATTTTACAATCTGTGCGCTTTAAGATGGAAGAAGTAGTGCATTACCTGTGTTTCAGTTTAATTGAAACCCTGGTTTTGCAATGAAAAACTACTTAGCAGGTTTTGAAGATGACTAATCATCAAAGCTGCACTGCAGATCATCTGGGGCAACACATTCAAACAAGCCAACACATCAGCTGCCACCCAAGGCACTGAAACGCCAAGACTGCAGAGGTTATGTATTAGTTAAGAGCTGGAATAAACACCACATCATCTAGAATTTTTTTTAAGAATCAAGTCAGGGTAAAAAATAATGTGAAGAATATTATTCACTAATAAATAAAATAGTGACGTAACTTTATCTAGTTGCTTTATGTAGTATGATTTATTAATAATTAAGTCCCTAAAGTAGCCTATGACAGCCTTTACTGAGTGAACAGTGTGTAGCCCGCCCAAGCGGGACACTCCCCGCGTCTTACCAAGCACGCGCAAACACTGAGGCGGGGCTTACGGTGGTTTAACCAATCACGGCTACTTTCCCGAAGCACCACCCACCAAAACAGTTTGATTTTAAATTCAAACGGCCGGAAACCGCGGATTGGAGACAACCTTTTAAGAAAACTCAGCGTTAGTTAATTAAGGTAAATGTTTAAATAACTCAAAGCTTATTGTTTCTTTGATTCCACGTTGAAGTCTGTGCAGAGACGATAGTTTCTGTGGTTTAACGTAGTTAGCTATTGGCCGTCTATGCTAAAGGTAGCGGGAAGCAGCTAACGTTAAATCTAACGAGCGAACTAACGTGAGCAACAACACGAATGTCGGTTTTACGGATAACGGCAACATAGTCGAAGCTAATTCGTGCCTCCCAATGTTTTAGCTTAAATACCTTTATCCGCCGGGTTGAAAGTGACTGCCCCATTGTTGGTGATTAATAAATACATATTTACCACGTACTGTTGCAACATGTTGTTAAACGACTTGAATTCTTGCTTTTCAAATGTGTTCGCAATCGATCAGCCTGTGAAGTAACCTGAGCACAAACAACCAGCTAGCGTTAAGTTAACTCGTTATGTTAGTTTTTAAGTTAAAAAGTTAGTGTATGGATTGTTTGCTCTAACGTGTTTGCACAAAGATCTACTCATTTCTAATGACTCAGTAGGGTTTCTATGGAAGCCAACGAGTGTGTGTGTGTGTGTGTGCGCGCGCGTGCGTGTGTATATACTTATTCACAACATAAATACACGCGTGCGTGGGTCTTTTTCAGAACAAATGTAAACAGTTGAATCTGCCCCTCCAACAGGCCTTTTCACAGCAGACCGTTTGGCGTGTTGTAGCAGTGTAAACACGTGTGTGCATTGATGAATAAATGGTCCCATTGTCTTTAGTGTGAGACAATAGCAGCATCATTGGTCATGTTACCGTTTACACCTGTGTTAGTACCCGCTGTATTTACGCTTCACCCAACTCTCATAGTGTCCACTGGATCATGTCCATGAAAACACACAATAACACCTCTACTAAATCTGCTAAAAGTTGTGACTGACCGTATTTGTTGCCATGGAAATATACACATATTTAAGATTGTCCTGATTGACACGAGTCTGTCTGTGATGGTCTCTATGGATCATAACTAACGTCTTCACCCCCTCAACAGAACATGTCCCGCTTGCCAGTCAGTGCGAGCAAGAGGGTCCTTCTGACGAGCAGCAGCAGCTCGGAGAACGGACAAGACTTTGCTCCCGCTCAGGTTCGTACTGAGACCCGGAATCTTTTTACTGTGCTGCTGCACCTCCAGCTGCTCTGGCCAGTAGCGTTACCCGGTACCCAGCTCATAGCGTTCAGCAGCGAGAAGTTGGGCTCTGCCACGACCCAAACAGTAACATGGAGTCACTTGAATGTTATGTGAAAGTTCTTGGTTGTGGATTAAAACACAGCAGTACTCAACACACTGGTAACGGTTATCCACGATGGCTAGAATTATTATCGTTTTAGCCCATACATTTAAGTCATTGCTGTTGCCTCATGCTGGTGGCGTTTCTTGTATTTGCAGAAGAAGATCCGCAAGGACCCCGAGCCTTTCAAACCACATGCAGCAGCTACGATCATCAGCGGCAGGCGGCCTCCGGTTGCAGCAACCAGGGCTCCGATTTGTGAGTTAGCTGACTTTTACAGTCTTTGGTTTTTTGTAACGTTTAAATGCACCAAGACTGAATGAGATCATCAAGGTTGTTTTCTTGTATTTGACAAAAGAAAAACGCCTCTCTGTCCCACTTTGTCCCCCACACAGCAAGGCCAGTCCGCGGTGTGGGAGCCGCCACCGTGGCTGGTGTTCCTTCCCGAGGTGAGTTGAGCTGTCTGCTGGGTGATGGAGGACAGTGAATAAGCTCTTACGTCACGATTGTGTTTGACACCGTTATTTACTGTGTTCTTGTTCCATCAGGCGTCCTGAAACAATCGATAGCTTCTACTGCAGCAAAGGGGGGGAACGTGAAACCAACGGCTGCACCAACAGCCCCCAAAACAGGTGAATGGATCCTTTCCGCTTGTTCCCATGTGAATGTAGTCAAATAAAGCGAATAGCTTAATGAGCTACGCACCTTCCAGTTAAATAAAAAAACATGGTTTGAGGTTGAAGAAGAATTTGTCTGTTGCACATTTCAAAGCTAATCACTGTTTTGTAGATCCAAGTCCAAATCAAATGTTTGGATAAGGAGAACATTTGCTTACCAAAATACAATAAATAAATATAGAAGTTTGCGTGTGGTCGGGACCTTCCGTGTAGGCTACAAAGTTACTAATAGGTCAATGTTTGCCAGCTAGTTATATAAGAAGTACGTCGGTTAGCATGCAGGTTACACATTATGATGCAAACGTTTGGGTGCAATAGAATTTAACAAAAGTAAACCAAGCACTGAGGTCTCGAGTGGAACCGTCACACCTCTCTTATGCCTTTTGTGCGCAGGTGCAGGTGGGGGCACCAAGCGCCACGCGTGGGACTTCAAGGGCAAGGTCAGCGACATGGAGGGCAAGATCCGTAACTACCAGACCAAGGTGAAGACTACCAACCAGGAGAACGAGGAGCTGAGAGGCACGATGGCCCAGACCCAGTCAAGAGTGTCTGAGATGGAGAAGAAACTTGAGAAGCAGACGAGGCAGATCAGGTACCAAGGACCGTTCCCCGTGTTAAGCAAAGCAAGAATGACTGCCGTCATCACGTGGTTCCTCTGACGCCATTGGACGCCCCGTCGTCTCTGTGCTTTCAGTGAGTACGAGGCGGAGCTGCAGGCCTTGTCTGGCGTGCGGGATGAGTTGGAGACGGTGTCCAGCGACAAGTGCACTCTTGAAAAGGAGCTTTCCAGTTTAGAGAGCAAATACAAGGTCGTGGAGACTCTGCGGGACAGCCAGGAGACCGAGCTGCAAACGCTCAAGGTTTGACGTCTGCTGCTGGAATAACGGCCAACGCTGGCGATGTGGTATCACTTGGTAACCACGCCATCTCTAACGTGCGCTTTCCTCCCCAGATGAAGCTGTCGGTGCAGGAGTCGACCATGGCCCGCCTGCAGGCGGCCCTCAGAGACTCGGAGGAAGAGGTCCGCTCCCTTAAGGACACCGTTGTCCAGCAGAAGGATGAGCTTCATGCCGGGGAGATGGAGCGCAGGCAGCTCCACAACGCCATCCAGGAGCTCAAGGCAAGTGTGAACGCAGCCGCTGATGGTGCGGTTTTCTCACTCACTGGGGGACATCTGCTTCCTCGGTTTGCATTTCTTTGCGATTCTTTTCGCCCGCGACTCATTTGTCCATGGCCCGTCTCTTGCAGGGCAACATCAGGGTCTTTTGCAGGGTGCGCCCTCTGGTGGAGGGAGGCCTCAGCAAGCACATCCAGCTCTCGCCCAGCGACAACAAGACGATAACGCTGGCCAAGACCGAGGAGGTGAGATTCTGTGATGTCATCGCTGTCCAGTCGGCTACATTTACATTACATGTCATTTAGCTGACGCTTTTATCCAAAGCGACGTACAATAAGTGCATTCAACCATAGGGTACAAACTCGGAAGAACAAGAAACAAGAAAGTGCATTTTTTCTCAAATAAGCCAATTTACAATTTGCTATACATAAGAGCCATTATAGGTACAATTTAAGTGCTACAATTTGTTAGTCTTTAGTCGAGGTAGAGTCTGAAGAGGTGTGTCTTTAGTTTGCGGTGGAAGATGTGAAGGCTCTCTGCGGTCCTGATGTCTTCAGAGAGCTTGTTCCACCATTTAGGAGCAGGACAGCAAAGTCGTGATCTAGTCGAGTGTTTTGCTCTCAGTGAGGGAGGGACGAGCAGTTTATCAGATGCACATTGTAGATAATAAAAAGTTGTAATGAATATGATTAATATAAGCAACATGCTGTCAGTGCTCCCTTAAACTCACCTCAAAGAAGCAGTGGCAGAAATGTTGGTATATTGCTTTGTTTTGTGTTTGCATACATTCTCCCACAAATCTTTATTCCACGTTTCCTGCTTTTTAGTCCCACACAGGCAAAGCTGCTGACACTCAGAAGAATTACAACTTCAGCTTCGACCGAGTGTTTGGCCCCCAGTCTTTACAACAGGAGGTAAACACGCACCAAAATGCACACTACGTACATCAGCCACATTAATTGTCATGACTAAATAGCAACTGTTTTTAAAGTAGGACGCCCACAGTGATGTTTGTCATTGTGCTGCCAGGTGTTCGAAGAGATCTCGCTGCTGGTGCAGTCCGCGCTGGACGGCTACAACGTCTGCTGCTTCGCTTATGGCCAGACGGGCAGCGGCAAGACCTACACCATGGAGGGGGGCGAGTACGACGAGTGCAGAGGAGTCATTCCCAGAGCCGTGAAGCAAATCTTCAGAGCGGCAGAGAAGCTGGGGGCGCAGGGCTGGGAGGTCAGTGTGTAACCTCAGTGTGAACACGGGCAGGGAAGCAGGTCGTCGACACGGACTGTAGTCGGTTTTCTGGTTTACACCTCCGGGTGTTACAAACCGCAGTCACGTTTCACGTGAGCAATACTGTCAAATACTGGAACTAAAGTTTGGCCAAAATGACAACTTATAACTAATAACACAAAGTTTATGAGGTTCAATCCGCAGACGTCTGCACTACTTACTCAGCACAACTACAATAGGTACTAAAGTACACAAAACAATGTCACAGTACAGTGTAAGACGGATGCACAGAGGTAGTCCAGGCTGTAGACCGTGTCTACATGTGGTCCCACCCACGCCTGTCTCCTTGCACTCGGCGCGTATGTGGAGGAGACGCAGACCAATGAGAGAAGGGGACCATTTAGATCAAATGTCATAATCGTCTCTGTTCATCTCAGTTCACCTTCACGGCGAGCTTCGTGGAAATTTACAACGAGGGCCTTCGAGACCTGCTTTACTCTGGCAAGGCCAGCAAGAGGCCCGAGCACGAGATCCGAAAGTCGGCCAACAACGAGGTGACCATCACCAACCTCACATACCAACGGGTCTGCAGCGAGGATCAGGTGTGTGACCGCTCAGCAGCACGGTTACATAAAATACTAAAGACCCTATGAGTGACACATCCGCTGAGGAGGTACCCGTGATATTTCTACATGTGCTGCTGTAGCGTAAGTGCTCCGTTTGATCCCCTCCCCCTGCCAGGTTCTCCACCTCATCATGTTGGCCAATCAGAATCGCTCCACCGCCCAGACGGCCCAGAACGACCGCTCCTCCCGCTCCCACTCAGTGTTCCAGCTGGATATCGAGGGAGTGAACGCTGGCAGGGATGTCAAGTGCAAGTGTGCGTATCATCCCAGCGATCACACCAGTAGCTTCGATGTGCATGAATGTCGCTCTGTGTTTAGGGCTTGTTTTATAATCCGAGTTCTGTGTGTTCAGCCACTCTGTGCATGGTGGACTTGGCCGGCAGCGAGCGCATGCTGAAGAGTCAGTCTCAGGGGGAGCGCTTTAAGGAGATGACCGCCATCAACGGCTCCCTGTCCAACCTCGGCATCGTCATCACCGCGCTGGCCAACAAGGTCTGTAGGCACGGCGCTGAGCTCCCGCAGGCGGCCCGCGGCTCGTTGTTCTTTCTTACGTCTTCCTTTGTGTTCCAGGAGAGCTACGTTCCCTACAGGAACTCCAAGCTGACCTACCTGCTGCAGGGCTGCTTGGGAGGAAACAGCAAAACGTGAGTCACAGAATAGTCCTCAGGCATCCGTGGTGGAGGCCATCACATGCTGTCATGTTGGCGTCACAATAAGGGGCGGGACTAAAGGGGTTCTGAAGACTTTGTTTGTGTTGTCATCACCGCAGCCTGATGTTTGTGAACATCGCTCCAGAGACCGACAGCTTCGGAGAGACGCTGAACTCTTTGAGGTTTGCAAGCAAGGTGAGAGACGTCTGTGGTGGTTTGCAGTTGTGTCTCTAAAACAGGACGTGGTCACATGATGTCAAACTGTCGATCTAATGAACTGCAACATTTAGGACAAAGCTATTTAATATCAAGTAGCTAGCTCAAAAATGACAGTAAAAAACTAAAGTCATCAACAAATGATCTGTTTTCTTGCCCCACGTCTTTTTTTTTCACACTCGCTGACCCAGTTACATCGTTTTCGCATCTGCGGCTGATTTTTGACACAAGATGTGTGTTTTCTCTCCTTACAGGTCAACGACTGTGTGATTGGAACTGCGAGCGCCAACAGGAAGTAGAGCAGAAAAGAAGTTAACGCGGTTCTTACTATTTTTACCTTTTTATTAATGGTCACAACATGAAATGTCCGGCGCAATCGTTTCTCGCGTCTTGAGTTTTACTTTGTGTGGTTTGGCACATCGCGGGGCTCAATCAGTCCGGCAGGGCTCAAGGCAGATTCAGTCACTCACCTTTTGAATAAATACAACCGCAGTGAGAACCGGAGCCAGACAACGCGTGACGCGTGTAGTTGATGGCGCGTTGTTTGGTGGGACGTTTGGCCCCAGATGTCCGGCACTCTGCTGTGATCTCGCGGGGGCGTTTGGTAGAGGATGATGGAGAAATGATGAACAAGCAACCAGCCACTTGCTTGACAGCTGCAGTGACGACGCTTAAGATTGAAATTCTTTTCAATGGTAAAACACAAACAAACAATTTTGAATGGTTATTGTAATAAAGCCGTCATTCTTTAAAGTCACATTATAATTAAGCTTACTTATAACTGCACAGCATGTTGATTCCTAAAGAGACTGTTTGATGAGCCCTGTGCAAACCAAAAACTAAAATCCTTTATATTCTCAGGACTTTCCTTGATCATTATTTCAGGCTTTTAACTATTTAATCAAGAGGATGTGTACATAGGCATGTTTTTAGTGTGTTCTTTTTAAATATATGGCTCTCAAGGCTCCTTTATTCATGTCATTTTCTAGTTGAGACCTTTTCATTTCCATTGGAAAGTGCATCAATATGCACATTTTTTCCAGTTCATGTTTTTTGTGTAACTTTCACAATACTTGCAAATAAATGCAGTGTGCTTAAACAAATACTGTTTTTCTTGACTTTAGCTGATAATTCTTATTCATATGCATGTTGACAGCAGGAGTCCATCGTCCACACACACAGGCTTTATTGTAGTGAAGGATTCCATCAGTTTGTTTACGGTGGACACGATGTAAACACACTGTTTTGTTCTTGTCATTATAAAGTATTATTACAATGTGCTGTTCTTTCACGGTTCTAGTTAATGTTTCTTGACAGCGTTACATATATTCATAGTACTTGTCTTTAACAAAAGATAAATTATGTAAATTGTTTTCTAACATGTCAGTTTTGTTTTATGAGCGTGTGTGTGATAAAGTTAAGAAAATAAGACCAACAAATGTCTTATTTTAAATGACCTCTCTGGTATGCCGGTGAGCGCATCCTATTGTTGCTCGTGTGGTTTTCTGTCGGCTCAAGTCTGCTGACTGGCTCGCCCGTCTGGAATCCGTTAAAGGCGACGCGCGCTGTCTGCCGCCGCGCGAGACGTCACACGCGAGGCTCGCTTCCCGAAGATGCCCCCCAAGCCCCCGGGCCTGGATGAGCTGGCGGCGCGCACGGCCGTCCGCCCGGTAGCACACGGTCCTTCACGAGGCTCCGGCGACCACTAAGACGGTGAGTTTCATGCACGACGGCCGACGGGTCTTTGTTCGCGCCGGAGCTAACTAGCATGCTAACGTCACATCTGTCCGCGTCACGTGACCCGGGAGTCCGGCGCTCTGAGGACACCTGCGGAGCTCGGAGGTCTGGCGCTCCTCACGGCTCGGCCTTTGTGACTCTACTGAAGGTCCCGCACGCGCTACCAGCGGAGCAACCAGGTGGAGCGGGCATGTTGTCACGAGCGCCATTCCTCCCCACAACTCATGACGTGATGCGTTTGCGGTCTCTGTAAAGTCTGACATCACTGTTCATCTGAGCTCTGCACGGCTGTCAGTTGAAGTGAGTGCGTGGACCTCCTTCCGGGACCTGCACGGGGGGGGAGACGTTAACACGCGGCCGGGGGCGAGCAGCAGAGTGGGAATAATCCGCAGTGCATTCTGGGTTATTTAGTCGTGTTTCTGAGCAATCAAGTCAACCTCTGCTGTTCCCTAAAGATGAAGAATAAAGACGTGATCACACACTTTATCTCAGTCTGATAAGAGAGATTTAGAAATCACAAGAAATGTTTACTAATCAATGGTAATATTTTTTCTCTTTACTACTCGACATATCTGGCATTCCATGTGACACTGATCCAACATCTGCAAACCTTTAGTCCAGCAGAGCTGCAGTGAACCTTTCCCTTGTAGGACGGTGCTGCAGTTTGTGGCGCCGTCGTTTTGCATTACTGAGAGGTGTTCCTATTATTTTGTCCATCGTTTATATTAGCGGTTAGAATATTAGAGTATAGACTTGTGCAAAGCACTTACCAGGGCAGTCATGTGACATTTAAACTCGATGTCTGACCTTCTAGTTCTCGTGGTACTTCTACTACATCCCTCCAACAACCATCGCTGTGTGCATGACGCACTCATCAGTAACAAACCATTCTGGAAATCTAAAAGCGTAATGGAGTTAAGTCATGAAAGTCTTCCTCTCCCCTAGATGCCGTTCCCCTCCATGGAAGTGGGCAGCAGCAGCAGCAGCTCAGCTCCCGGCGACACATCTGGCTCGGTGGTGCAGGTGTGCTTCCCCGGGGCTCAGGCCTCGGCGCTGGACAGCCTGAACCGGCAGAGAGAAGACGGCCGGCTGTGTGACCTCTCCATCCACGTGCAGGGACAAGTGTTCAAAGCCCACCGCTGCGTCCTGGCCGCCTCCTCGCCCTACTTCCACGACCAGGTGGGAGCACAGTGCAGGACACACACATGCAACACTTACAAGCTCCATGCAGCCTTCATCCATCTCTGATCACATGTCGGATGTGCCTATAGAAAGCACGCTACTGGGTGTGTATATCCTGTGTCGGGAGAAGCTATTTTAATTGTAGGACATCGCCTATAAGATATGGGGACACGATAATGGGACGAATTGATACAAACCACAGGATTTTTGTGTTGTAAACCCCCGGAAGAACCAATTTTAAACCCCTTTATCCCTTTTTTTTTTTTTAAACCCCGGTTTTGAAAAAAAAAGCCCCTTTTTGGGTTTTGGGGGGGGGGCTTCCCCCACCCGGGGGTTCCCCCCCCCCCCCCCCCCCCCCCCCCCCCCTGTACGTTTGGTGTCCACCATGATGAGACGGAGGGAGCGGGACGAGACGCTGCACAAACTGCTCATGAATTGATCGCCGTATCATTTTGACGTCTCCCCGCCCGCCACCAGGTGCTACTGAAGAACATGTCCACCGTCTCCATCCCGGCGGTGATGGACCCGCTGGCGTTCGAGAGCGTGCTGAGCTGCGCCTACACCGGCCAGCTGTGCATGCTGCGCGAGGACATCGTCAACTACCTCACGGTGGGGAGCGTCCTGCAGATGTGGCACATCGTGGACAAATGCACCGAGCTGCTGAAGGAGGGCCGGGCTGCAGCAGGGGGAGGGAGCGGAGGAGGAGGCGGCGGCGTGCAGGATGGAGCAAATGTTGGAGGAGGCGGGGTCTCGGCCAACCTTGGATGCAGCAGCAGCGACGGGGTCGCAGGCGGCGGCGGCGGCGATGTGGCTGGCGGTGGTCACGCCCAGGCGGAGGGGTCCAACGAGCCCCAGCGCGCCCCCCAAGCTCCCAGCCGGCCGTCAGTCAGTGAGAGCCAGTCCCCCAGCAGCACCAACTACTTCAGCCCCCGAGACGGGAGCGGCTTCGGGGGGGGCGGGGCGGCCGCAGCCGGGGCGGCGGTGGACGGGGGCGGGGCCAGCACCACCCCCCGCTACTGCACCCGGTCGGGAGGAGAGGAAGCCTTCCTGGTTGAGGAGGAGGAAGAGGAGGATGATGAGGAGGAGGTGTTGTACCACCAAAGGAAGAGAGGAAGAGGAGTCGGAGGCAGCGGCAGGAGGAAGAAAATGAGCTGTGCGCCGGAGCAGGAGGTCGGCGTCAGCGACAGCTTTGGCGTGTCCTCTTATCAGGTGAGCTTTTAACTAATCTCAAAACTTCTTATTTTAAAACAAAAACATCATCATGTTTTTGTCTTTTAATAACTTAACTAATTAGATTACTATTCGTAATGAACTTTTCCAGTCTCAAAGCAACTTCTAAAGAGCTTTTATTTTAAATTCTTCGTCTTCCAAGAGGCAATATTTTGTGTTTTATAAAGGTAGAGTATTTAGACAGCCGTCAGTCACTATTATGAACAAATATTACAAAGAAGAAATTTCCTTCAGGCAGGAACTCTATTCAAACAGGAGGGATATTCGTGTTGGTGTATCTGATTCCTCATGATTCCATGTGGTTTGCATTCGGTGTTGTTCGTCTTCAGGTTTTCCATCCGTTGCATAGGAAAGAAACTGTATGTTTATGAAACGACTTTTTGTAGACTACAAATCCCTGACTGACTGTCTCCACTGAAAGGACGGGGAGGACTCGTCTCTGCCTCTGCAGAAGCGTCCGGCCTACATCCAGCCCAGCATCATGCCGCGGAAACAGTGGGTGGTGGTGAAAACCGAACGCATGGAGGACGACGACCTCATCGTGGTGTCCGGGGAGGAGGGAGGAGAGGACGAGGACGAGGAGGACGAGCGGGAGATGGAGCTGGCCAGGGAGAGGGAGAGAAGCGACTTCAACATATCCAACGTCCGGAGCCTCTCGGCTGATCTGGGAGGCCGAGCAGAGAGCGACATGGACTCACAGGTGAGAGAGCAACAAATCCTTCACTAAAAGATGGTCCAACTAGAGTCAAGACGGACCATACAGATGGATATGCTTTAGGGCCTCCCTAAAACATAAAAATGTTAATGAATATATGAACCGTTTGAATAGCTTAGTATTGATACACAATAACAGGGTAGCTATGTTTATACATGTAGCACTTGGCCCAGTATGATACAAACTCAATTTTATGCACTTTATATAGTAGGGGGTCCCTGCTCCATCTTCCCATCAGTTGGGGGGACCTCGGCCTGAAAAGCGTTGGAGACCCCTGCTTAGGGCGAGGCTCTCCACTGTCCAAATATGGATGTTTTTGTCCCTTAGCTGCAAAAGAAAAGATGGAAACGTCCAAAAAAAACAACAACTCGAGGCTTCAAAGCAGCAGCCCACAAACCAATGGGTTTAGTTACAATGATTACGTCCACTTATATGTCGTCTCACAGAACCACAGCCATCTGAACCAGTGTGATGTGCAGCAGACGTTGCTGTGAAAAAGTATAAACCTGAATGAGTTAAATAGAACCTGTCAGACAAAGTGAAGAAGGCTAGAAGATCTAAAAAAGCAACACGTCAGGCTGCAAGAGCAGATAAGAAACACAGTAATGGAAATGCATCTGTTCAGAAAGGTCTTTGGGACTCCAGATAGTTCAGGTAGTGTGACGGTCCAGCTTCAGCACCTGGACCACTTACCTTAATGGAGGGAAATATGAATTCTGCTCTACCAGAAAACCAATTCTTCACATAGAGCCATATTGGTTCGGATATCTTTTTTTCTCTCAATAAATTAAATCATTATTAAAAAACTGCATTCATCCTATTGTTTTGTAATATTAAAATGACTTTGATGACCTGAAACATTTAAGTACGACAGAAGAAGAAGAAGGGGACAGATACCTTTTGACAGGCAGCATATGTCCAACATGCAACATGTCCAACATTCCTCAGTGTCTCCGTCTGTCTCCAGGTGGACTTCTGCCAGTCGTCGGAGGACTACCTGAAGTTTGAAGGCAGCTTAATGGAGCAGACGTTGGCTCACCTTCATGACAGCGCTGCAGGTCAGAGCCAGAGCGCCAGCCGCGCCGTGTCGGCGCTGCTGGGCCAGGTCCAGTCGGGCGCCTCGGCCCGGGCCCAGCTCTTCCCCCTGGACATGCAGGGGAACCAGATCCTCCTCTACAGCCAGGCCTCGGGGCTCTCCCTGGACGCCGCCGCGCCCCCCCTCGGCGTGGCCGGCGGCGCGATAGGAGGAGCCCCCTTCAAAGGTCCCGGCCTGGAGCACGGTGCGGTCCACCTGCCGGCACAGGGCGCTTTGGGAGTCGACGGCATGGACGCTGTGGCGGTAGGGGGAGGGGCGGGCGCCGGGGGTCCAGGGAAAGTGTTCATGTGCCACTGTGGCAAGAGCTTCACCCACAAGAGCATGAGGGACCGCCACATCAACATGCACCTGGACCTGAGGCCCTTCCACTGCCCCGTCTGCGCCAAGAAGTTCAAGATGAAGCACCACCTCACGGAGCACATGAAGACGCACACGGGCCTCAAGCCGTACGACTGCCTCGGCTGCGGCAAGAAGTTCATGTGGCGCGACAGCTTCATGCGGCACCGCTCGCACTGCGAGAGGCGTGGCGGGCTGGGGGAGGGCGGCGAGGGCGGGAGAAGGGGAGCTGGGGAGGATGGAGCAGATTTGATCGCCTCCCCTCACCTCCTCCTGTCTGGGGGCGAGGGAGGACACAGCGGCACCCTGGGAGGGGGGAGAGGAGGGGGAGAAGAAGGAGAAGGGGGAGGAATGTCTTCTTCTTCTCCGCATCACTCCGGCGTCTCAGCCACAGGAAGTAGCAGCAGCCACGGTGTGAGAAACATGAGCAGCAACATGGCCGTCTCCCAGCACGCCGGTCAGGGGTCGGGGATCTTCGGTCTTGGGTTGGGCCCAAGTGTGTGTGATGAGGACGTGTGTGAAGTCGGCGCCGACGACGGCAGCGTGACATAAAGCGGCGGTGGGTGTCTGTCCGACGGGCGCCGCGGTCTGAGACGCCGCCTGCTGCTGTTTTTACAACTCGGTCAACGCGGACCGCCTGAGTCCCTTTGACCCGCCCGCTCAGCCTGTCACACAGGAAGTGGGTACGTTGTCTGTCAGAGAGGGGGGGGACTCTCTGTGGGACACGTAGCTGAACAAAGTCCTGATGCCGTCTCAAGTAACCACAATTCTTTTGTTTGCCTCCGGAAAGTGACCTCATCAAAAAATGGTTTCCCAGATGTTAGTAAAGTATATTTTTTGGAGGGGGGAATTATGGAAGAATGCCTTAATGAGGGGGGGGGGGGGGGTACTTCTGCTAGCGTAACCTGCTTTTCTTGTTGTCCAGAGTTCTCGTACTTTTAAGGAGTATATTATTATCGTAAATATATACAAATATGTATGTGTATATATATATATATCTATATATATACGGTTTCCACTCATTAGGCCTGGAACAAGCAGCGACTTGTAACGCTGATGCGTTCGCTGTCTCCGAAGTGTTCAGCTGTAGAGACAATATTTGAAGGTGTTCCTCAGAGAAGGTCCTGGGCTCCAGTGAAAGGGGGACGTTGGTCTCATCTCAGCTTCACACGCCGTGTTTATGAGCATCACATTCTCTCCCCATCACAGCACAAACGTCCTGTATATCCAGTGGTAGTTTGGGGATTTATAAAACCACTGATTGATTAGCTGATTATTGAACAGTGATAGTTTTGATTGTGTTTTTGAAAATGAAGAAAAACACAGAAGACTTTGTTGTAATTGGTTGTTTTTCTCTAAAATATGTAAGTATTAATGCTTGGCAACAATTAAAAATTTTAAACGCGATTAATCGCAATATTTTTGCAATTCTTCTTAATTGCGATTAATCCTGGTCCATCCATGGTCCTCTTATCGGGGATCGTGTCGCGGTGGCAGCAGGCCCAGCAGGTTGACCAAGACTTCCCTCTCACCTGCAACATGTTCAAGCTCATTCCGGGGGATCCCGGAGCGTTCCCAGGCTAGCTTGGAGATTTAATCCCTCCAGCGTGTCCTGGCTCGTCCCTGGGGTCTCCTACCTGTTTGGTGTGATTGAAAACCCTCCAGGGGGGGGGCGTCCAGAAGGGATCCTAGTTAGATGCCCCAACCGCCTCCGCTGACTCCTTTTGACACAAAGGCGCCTCAACTCCCCCAAGTTCCCTCCTGATATCCGAGCTCCTTACCCTCCTTTCCAGCACCCAGGCGTAGACTTCCACACTCTGACTGTAACCATCGTTGTGTCTGTATGTATTCAGAGACAACTGGAACAGGATTTTTTTATTCGTTAACACGCTATAAAATAATTGTCGTACAACTTAATAAATGTGCAACGCGATAACGTGCCCAGCACTAATAAATACATGGTTGTAAACGTAACACCTCATCCAATTTAATATCTGGGTAAAGTGAAAGCTGGAACACCCACAGCAAACCTGCAATGCACCCAAGAAAGCCGGGTCTTTATTTATTATTGTTTATGTTGAAGATCACAGTTGTTTTCTGTGGTTAAAGTACACCAGTCAATACAAATACACTGAAAAGTATCACACTACAGAATTACTTTCTGCCTTTGTTTCTGTATCAAAACCCAGATTATATTACAATTTCAATTGTGTATGTATGTACGTGTATGTATATATATATATATTATATATACACAAATCAATTACTGATTAAATTATTTTATACTCCCCGTTCAAATCCAAATGTAGATTCAGCCCATTAAAAAAAACACATATATTTATATAAATAACTGGCAGTCGAAGGTGTTGTATGAGAGCTAAGTGCATCATCACTGTGATCAAACTGTTCCCCTTTCATAAAGGTGCGTCCTCTGTTGGTGATGTGATTAAAGAGATTGTGACCATGTGACCTCGCAGCCATGTGATAACTGTGATTATGGAGCCGTGTCTCACTTTAACAGGTGGAGTCACGTGTCACATGTGTTTGTGTCATGCAGAAGCCAGCGTGGTTCCTTCTGTGAAGCTCTGACTGGTTTCATCTGCTCATGTTTCCTCCCTCACTGCTTCGGGGGGTTTGTCCTTGTTTCTAGTATGGTCGTAGTACCTTTCTGCTCGTCGTCCTCCTCGGCGTGAGGAAACGGACGGTTCCAGTCCCAAAGGAGTGACCAGTAGGACGCGGCGTGGGCTCCACTTTCTACTCGCTGGACTTAAAGATAAAACAATCAGTAAAACCTCCACACGTGATCCATGTCGTGTGCATCCAGAACCCAACAACTACCTAAGACAATCCGTCTCAAACTGACAAAGGTCGAACCAAAGAGTCTTTAGGGGCCCGTAGGACGGCTGTGTAGCTCGTTGCTCACACCCGTCTCACCATCGGCGTCCATGTTGGGGACGACGGAGCGCTCAGAGATGCTGATGAAAACACGGCGCTGGTCAAATTATATTTGTTCATCGCACAAACTAGCGCGTGTTCTGATTGACCCGACAGTTGTTGAACATAAAAAGGCGATAGACCCTTTGATGTAGAACCTGAGTGGTATTAATAATGTAATGAACCACAGTACATCCATATTTACCTCTGCGTTGTATCAAAGTAATGCATCATAAATCATTGGGTGCAAGGTGTTGAATTGGTCGTCAATAAGACCGACGTCTGCTGTTTGTTTTTGCTTTCAGAGGACATCATTAATCAATATATTGATCCTGCAAAGAGGCAGTGCTAAATAAATCCACTGATGGCTTTGGGTGTTAAATCTCTTGTAATGTTTCATATATGACTTTGCACCAATAGTCTCCTGATATCTTCCCCCTCAAAGCTACATCAATATCAAATACGAAGACAGTTGATCTCCTTTTGATTTTGTGTGCTCATAAAAGAATGTTTGAGTGTAATTGACTGAAACAACAGAGACGAGCAGCCTTATGACGTCGTGTGACAGTAACATAAGAAAAACATTCTTCTCCCCAAAGTTCAGGAGTGATGTACGCGTTCATGGAATGTGGGGAGTTTGAGTAAACTCAAATACTTAATAAGACTCCAATAAGAGGCGACTACGGCCACATGATGGAAACTATACAACCTGATGGATCCTTTGTTCTTGGTTATTGAGTGGAAGCATAGACAGAAGTGGACATTGGACAACAATGTGTTGTGGAAGCTCTACTGAGCTGACAAAGTATTCCACTCTGTTTATTGGCAGGAAGGTAGCTGGACGCTGAGCCTTCCCACATTTATGAAACACAATCAACTGATCACAAAGAGCAAAAGAAGCACAATCATTTCAGGAGTGCAGTGGACCTCAAAGGTCTTCATCAGCGGGACGGATGGACGACTCATCCCATGAAAAGTCCCCCTGGTGCAGAAAAGACAGCATGAGCGCGCGGTGAATCAAAGCGTTGGTCAGAAAAGCTGAGAGAGAACGGAGTCTTTCTACCAGTCACTTCCACGCTGGCTCCTGTGATGTATGCAGCGTCATCGGAGGCCAGAAAGGCACAGACGTCCGCCACCTCTGGAGGACAGACAGGAGGCCATGTGACTAGTGACAGCCCACTACAGATGTTTTACGACTTCAAAATCAACACACGCTAAATGTTTTAGAAGTTTATATCCTCGTGCTCACTGACCTGCCGGCTCCCCCATTCTGCCCAGAGGCACCAAGAGCTCCATCTGACGGGACAGAGACACAGCGCACGTGTGAGGAGGACAGTGCACGTGAGGAGGACAGTGCACGTGAGGAGGACAGTGCACGTGTGAGGAGGACGCGGTCCGGGTTTATATCACATGATCAGTTCCATCATGCAGAAGGTGCTACTTTGATTTAATAATAAATCTGTGTTTGGAACATTGTGAACATCAAATGGCTTCACTTTGCTAGAAGATAAAAGTGTGCGTGGAACATTTGGGTAACTCTATAAACAGCAGTCAGAATATTAATGTGTGTGTGTGTGTGTGTTGTGTACCTTGCTAATAACCCTCTCGGGAACTTTATCCGTCATCGGAGTCGATATGAAACCCGGCAGCACACAATTACAGCGAATCCCAAACCTGCAGGAGAAGAGCAGGACGAGCAAATGACGGCGGATTCTTTTTTTCTAAACCTTGTAACCTTGTCGTGGTTTCCGCGCTGCATCTCCTCTCACCTGCTGAGCTCTTTGGCAGCCGTCCTGGTTAATCCCTCCACGCCGGCTTTAGAGGCCGAGTAATTCGCCTGTCCGATGTTCCCCACCTACACACAGGGGCAGACGGCTCACGGCTCAATAAAGTACTTCTCTTCTATAGCAGACCTACTTCAGCATTTACGGTGTTTATAACAAAAATAAGCTCTAGATGGAGTTCTGTAAATTTAATTTTGGATCTTTTGTTTGAGGAAACAATTATGAAAAGTACAGGAAACATTCCTTTCATAAAAAAAAACCCACTACAACTACAAAGTTTCAAACAGACCTTTCCCACGATGCTGCCCACGGTGACGATGGACCCTTTGGGTGCTCCACAGGCCACCAGAGCCTGAGCCACAGCCTGAAGGACCAAGAAAGAACCCTGGAGACGCCGGAGGAGAGACGACTGAACGACTGACGCACGGTGAACAAACTATCAGGAATATAGTTCTATTCAAAGCCGAAAGGAGCAGAAGAGCATGAGGAGGTCTGTCTGATCCAGACGTTGCATTATTGTTATTATTATAGGATTGTTGTATTTCCAGATCTAATCACAGGGTTTGTAGTTCTGAGCTGCAGTGATGGAATGCAGCTAGTTATTCCATTTACTACTTAAAGTCCCTTCAGTTCCTGTCAAGATGCTGAGGGAACGACAGGCGCATGTTCCCATGGAGCTGATTAACCCGCAGCACAGGTTACCATGGTGATCCATCCCGGGCTAAAGCCCGGGCTTGAGCCGAAGGTAGCTGATAGCTGCCTCACCGTGGCGGGTCGGGCTGCAGGTGTCATGGCTGCCTACCTTCAGGTTGACCAGGAGGACTTTGTCAAAGTGCTCCTCCTCCATGTTGAGCAGGAAGTCGTCCTGGGTGACGCCCGCCGCGTTCACACACACCGAGGGAGGCTGGAAGTACCGAGTCTGCAGAGGGAGAGGACGACATTCACCGTCAGCGGAGGAGGACGAGGCTCACGAGCAGAACGATGGCTGGAGTCCACCCGCCTGTACACCCGTGAGCAGCTTCTTCACGCTCTCTTTCGACGACACATCCACCGCCGCCGCCATGTGACCCTGTCCCCGGAGGTCCCTCGGCAGCCTCCCGACGGTCTCCGTGGCCGACTCGTGGCTGATGTCGGCGACCACCACGGAGGCGCCCTCTGAGGCGAGGCGCTGACACACCGCCCGGCCGATCCCACTGCCTCCGCCTGAGGGGGTGCGGGGGGGTCAAAGGGTCACTTGATCAGGACAGCCTGCCATTCATACAGTGTGTTCATTTCTATTGTGTTTTTGCACCCAAAACCGCAGGTGAAATTGGTAATATACCGACAGATCAGAGCCAGAAAATGAAATCAGTGCTTTTATTTATTTACATGAAGTGGCCCCAATTTCCGTTGGTGCTACTTTTGACATTCGTGGTGAACTAACTTAAACTAACTCAAAGCTCCCAGCTGATCCAGAGTCAGTGGGGGAACTTGCCGAAGACCTACAAGGTTTCCCCAGAATAAACGATAACGCGTAGAAGCTCCGCTCCGTGCATCCCAGAGAGAGGGAACCTACCAGTGACCAGCGCCAACCTTGACGTGAGCCTGGTGGAGGCCGCCATGACAGCTGTGTGGTTAGAAGAGTGAGAGGCGGGAGCGAGTCAACGGCGCGACGGCGACACGACCGGGACCGGACAGAGCGGCCCGGAAAGCCGCCTGCAGCGGAGAGACGCCTCGGTCAGGACCACGTGACGGATGTAAGAAGAGAAGTGGACACGTAACGCGTCCGAGAAGCTGCCCCATTGACACCGGAGAAAGTTACTCATTAGCGCACTGAGCGTAACAACTTGACTTCCTGGTATCAAATTACCCGGATGTTCCACATCCAGGGCACCTGGGAGCATGCGCATTAGCATTTTAGTTATCAGCTGAGTTGAGGCGAGAAAGAAAACAAACTGATACACTTCTTTTGAATTATTGCATTTTTGCAAATTACAGTGCAATTAATCACAATCAATTGCAGAGATTGCAATTAAAAATTGTAATCGAGCACTATTATATAACATTACATTATATAAATGTGTACAAATCAATGTACAAATTCAGATGATTCCTTGTTGAAAAAAAGGCATTCGTGAATCAACCCCAACATGTTCAAACCCAACAAGCAACTTCAAAATGCAGGTTCAACAGTTTGTGTATAAATGTCCATCCATCTTCATCTTTGCTTGGAGTCTATCCCAGGCAACTCCGGACAAGAGACGCGACTGGTCGCCAGCCAACGCAGAGCTACACAGAGACAAACAACCATTCACACACACACAGGGCAGCCCAATCAACCTGATCCCCAGATGTCTTGGGACTGTGGGAGGAAGCCGGAGAACCCGGAGAAAACCCACACAGACACAGGGAGAACATGCAGACTCCACACAGAAAGGCCTTTGGGGCAGAATCGAACCCAGGACCTTCTTGCTGTGAGGCGACCGTGCTGACCACCACGCCACCGTGTGTAAATGTAGACACCCAAATATGTTGTTGGTGACATTTAATTATTTTATATACATTTATTTGTGCATTTATTTTGCATATAATTGAAATAATGTGTGTGCTTCAACCAGATGGGTCCAATTGATTTGAACTACAAAAATAAAAATAATGTTTTACAGTAAGAAAAAAACATTCATATTCAAAAACAAGTTCTAGCAATAACACAGAATAGAAAAAGAAACTCAGAGGCTCTGTGTTTAAATAAAAAAAACATTTATTTATCAAAAATGAAAAAGAATCAGTTTATTTTGGATGACTCCACTGCATAAATGAAGCCTGATAAAACAGAGCTATGACAACTACAATACAGGTCTACATTCTATTAAGTCCAAAAAGACCATTTACCCAAAGTCTTTATTTCACCTGTTCGGGAAATACAAAAGGAGCAGAAAACAAAAACTGAGATTGTTGTCACAATAAAAAAATCCCCCCACTAGAATCAGCCAACAACTGAATAAATACCTGCCTCTAAAATAAATCTATCAACAATCACTTTGATTTTGATGAAATGTGTGCACATTGCTAGTGAGAACATGTGGATGAGCTCAAGGCCGACTGATGAAAGCTTCACGTTCAGTAGAAACGCATCTCTGCTGGAACAGAGCCGGAAAATCACAAGACGCCAACAAAAGGGATCTTTTAAATGTAATGCTAAATGTGATGCCCAGGAGGGAACGGAAAGGTAAAAGCTTTGCCCACAACAATTATCAGTATAAAAGTGAACCAATAAAAAAAAAAAAAAATCCTTGATTAGGATCCTTGACTAGGCTTTTTGTTAAACAACCACATCTGTAATTTAACTTTTTAAGTTGGGGAACCGGTGAATAATGTAGTTATCAGGGGGGTCGGACAGCGGCACAGATGAAACTCAACTCTGATGAAGCTGCATCGGAGGACATTTTTCAATCTGAACTCCTTTTGCTTCAAGATGCATCAAAATCCCAAAGCAGCATCCGTGCGATAGATACATAAAGAGTAAAGCTCAATGTCAACAAATCCCACACAAAGACCCCAACCAACAATGTGTCGGTCCACTTTGCCCTCCTTCGCCCTCACTGGTCCATCGGGCATTTCCCAGAATGCTTTAGTATCTATTATGCAAACATCACTCAACAAACCAAAACACATGTTGTATGTGGGACTGAGGAACGCTGCAGAGTCCACGTGGTCATGGATCACTACCTCCCTGCTCTCCTTCAGGACAAACTCAATATGTAAAAATGTAAACAAACTGGCAGTGAGCGTCCTGCTGCACAGCTGTTTTCAGGCACTGGTTTCTTACCTAAACCCCTGGAACCAGGGTTCTCCTCTTTGCAGCCCCTGGCTGTCACGTTATTATTATCATCTGGTTCTGGCTGCTCGGATCACCCGATAGATGCCGATCAGGTCGTCTTCCCTGCTCCCCAAAAAGGCTTGATTTTACAAAAACAAAAATCGGGTTGAAAACGGCTACAATTATTTTTATTTATGTCTTTTACAAAAACACTTGGTTTCTGTTTGGTTCTATGTAATCAAGCAACATGAGGTACTAAATGCACAGTTTTCTCTTCTTCCACAGGTACAACCCGCACGTGTGCATTTTGTAAGTTCGATATTGTACGTTTGGATCACACTTCTGGCAATTCTTCCTCCTCCAACAAGCCAGAAAACCAGAACAGTCCTTAAAAACATCCTTTCAGGCAGTCAGAGCCAGAATGCAGGTGGGATGGAGACCACTCGTGCAGAATAGGGAGCGGTCAAAGGTCACTCGGAGTCTGACAGGACGATGACCTCATCTGGGTCACACTGCGTGGCCACGTTAACCTGGAAACAAACACGCTCAGTGAGACGGCATTTATCACTGTAGATTTCTACTGTCACGCACCAACCGCCAAGACAAATTCCTGACATATTTTGGCAATAAATGTTTACGGATTCCTGATCCTGATTCCTGAGAATTAAACATGTGAAAATCAGACAAAAAAAGTCTTAATATTTCTAAAAACCAGCATTTCTTTTCATTCCCAGCATGAGGGTTCACACTTTTGGAAGCATCCCGAGTGACTCACATCGTAAACTGTGGAGGACGCCGTCTACTTGACTTGTTCCGCTCTTCAGTTTAATTGTATTGTTGTTTTGGGTGAAAAATCTGAAATCCCGATAACTAAGTTAACTAGTAACTAGTCCATGTTTCCGTGATAAAAGAATACGATCACCCACCTTGTTTTTCTTGGGGGGCGGAGTCGACTGAGAGCTGCTGACCATTTCATTGGTTGGAGTGTCTGCTCGGGTCGACTCCGCCTGCTGTGGAGATATGCAGGTAAAAACGTCCGTATCCAGCGGGACGTCGACCTCACTGAGGAGGGAGGATGGATGGATGCACAGCGGGACGAAGGGACGAAGGATTAGGAACGTTCAGTACTATCAGTCATCATACGGGAGAGCGTGTATAAAACTGAAACAAATGTCCATCATTGTTGGAACTGGAGAAACGCAGATGTGTTGCTGCATATTTGTTAGTTATTGTCGTCATGTAACTTTGGTGAATCCAAACTAACGCTGTAAAACACCAAAGTCACAAACAGCAGCAGAGCAGAAGCTCTTGTGTCCTGCTACATAAATCACTGTTTTATATCAATAGAATGAGGCGAGCACAAACAAAGGTTTAGTTGTGAAAAGGCTGCCTGGCAGCGGAGGACTGCGGTGATGGTCCTTCTATCTGGGGACAGACCAGCTGCCGTCTACGGAGACAACCTCGTATAAACACTCCTTTAAGCTTCTTTCCTGCTTTTTATAAATTTACAATTATAACTTATAACAAATAAGTTCATTTCATTTCCGTTACATGTGATACATTCACGGAATGCCGTACCTGTCACGGATGAGTATGTGCTTATTATTCCTCGAGTTCTCGGGCGTCGCGTCCTCCCTCTTCCTCTTCTGGCTTCTCGTGGCTCTGCGGCTGAGCGGCGGCGACGTGCCATTCGTGGTCTGCGTGTCACAACTTTCGACGACGACCACCGGCGACAGCGGCAGGGACCCCCCCCCGTTGGCCTTTGCCAGAGAAACGTCCACTGGGTCTTTAGCTCCTCTGCTTGTGCTCACCAGCACCACTGAAACGTGATTGGAGGAATCCACGGGCTCTTCTAATACTGCACGGTTACCATTGGACAAGAGCCTCTGGTCATCAGTCTGCATGGGCTCTGATTGGCTGGGGCTCTGTTTCGGGGAGGGGGCGGCGCACAGCGGAGAGATTTGGGACTTGCTCTCATCAGAAAGAGGGCTGAGTCCACTGGCTGGCTCCTCGTCCTCATCTTTCACGCTTTCTTCCTCCCCTGCAGAAACACTTCCTGCCAGCTGATCCGTCTGCCCCTCCCTGTCGGTACCTTCACATTCCGCCTCGTTGCAGTCGTCATCGTTCTCGTCACCGTCTGTAGAGACGCAAACCAATGCGATCCAATATGTTCAATCACACAGAAACGTACTAAACGCTGAACTAAAGAATGAGAACATCGTTTGAAAGTTGAAAAGTCAGAGAAGGTCTCTGCTCTTACCTGGTCCATCCTGCTGGGTGCTGGCCTGCATCTCTTCCTCAATGTCGGGGTCTGATGATTCATCATCTTCATCGTCGTCATCCTCCTCTTCCTCCTCCAGTCCATTCACCTCTTTATTTTCTTGTCCGTTTTCAGATTTGGGAGCCTGAAAATAAGATGTGGGAGGGTCCAAACCAGAGTAAAGAGGAAGAGTAATGAAGAAAACTGGAATTTAAAAAGAAACTAATGGAGCTGAATCCAGAACAATTAAAAAAAATGTTGTTTTACTTTTCTATAATTTCATGTATTATTGTGTAGGATTCTGATGAAAGACCAGAGGGACCAAATAAAGCCCATTGATGATGACTTGCCTCCTCCCACTGATGCCCTCATACCTCTTTCTCCTTGCGGTCTTTCTCCAGCCGTCTGGCCCGGTCCTGCTCCTCTGTGTCCTCCTGTTTGATGGCAAACCTGGTGATGACCCCCTCCAGACGGGACAGAGCCACTTCCCTGTTAGACCGAAGCTTCCGCAGCAGCGAGGGGTCCGACAGAGCCGGGTCAGCGGCTTTAGGGGGGGGTGGAGAGAGGAACGACAGGTGAGGCGAGGGGGGAGGGACGATAAATGACGATATGAGAAGACCAGCCTGAGACAGAACTGGGTCTGTGCTGAGCTTCTACCAAGTCAGATGTGGGACATGGGAGTTCTTTAAGACAGAGGGAAGGTTATCGTTAGCGTTATGGTTGCACACTGTTATCAAACGCATACCCCTCCACTCACGCCTCCATTTGCAGGACGGAGTGCAGTGTGAAACCGTGATAACGCCGTCTGCCTCCGTCTCACAGCAGCAATCCTTCAGGGAGGTCAGAGGACAGGTCCTCGGCTTTGCACAGAGCTACGGTGGCCCGGGGGCTAACTCAGCAATAAAAAGGCTTTCGCTAGAGTCAGTGTTTGTTTTGCCCTTTCTGGGCTTCTGTATTAAACATGGTGGTGCAACACTGTGAACTGCACCAGCTCCCTACGTAGATACGAAGGGCTGATCCCCCAAAACATTAGTATGCATATTGACTTACACACTAGCCCTTTAGGTGTGTCATGGGACACACTCAAAAGGAATTGGTGTCCAAAAGTTGTTCAAGCCAACGACTTCAGAGGGAAGCACGTTTTAGAATCAAGGACTAATCTATTGAACAACTGTAGCACGTAGCTGTAAATGAGTATCTGTAACTTTTATAGCACTTTTTCCTCTTTTTCTTAACATTTGTATCCGTACTCTTATGCACTCGACAGGAAGCTGGCTGGTTGTTGAAGCGGGAATGCCCTGAAAGGTTTATTTAAACCACAAAATAAAGGTTTCTTGTGCATTCTAAGTCTCGTCTGCCACAGCAACCAGCCTCACCAGGCTTGTAGGCGTCAGTGAGGCGCGAGCCGAAGTTGTACACCAGGTCCAGGTGGCGTCTCTCTTGCATGCTGCCCCCCGTCTCTCTGAAGGCCTCCTGGGCCATCTGGTTCAGCTGCTTGCGGCTCAGGCACAGGTTGTGGCGCTCGTTGGCGCGCAGCACCTGCTGGAGGATGTCTTGGTAATCCGGAGGGTTCTGCTGCGCCTCGGGGCTGTTGATGAAACGCTCGATCTGACAGCAGGAAGGAGCGAAGGGAAAAAAGGCATCAGGAGGCCATTACGTTCACCCACAGAATACCAGGACATAAACGACAGCGCTCGTCCAACGGATCATGCTCAGACTGTATCACAACTGTATCTGTTCATTCAGTCTTACCTGACACACAAACAATTGTGGAAAGCGTTTGCTCGGTTCAAAAAGTTTTTGAACTCATAATATGCACACACACACACACACACACACACACACAGTGATTAAACATGCATCTGATACATCAGTTGACTCCCTTACATCTGCCTCCAAACTGCCTAAAGCAGCCAGCAGCTCACCTTCTTGTTGATCTCAGGGTAACGAGTGCTATTGTAGCGGATCCTCTGCTCAATGACTCGGCCCGTCAGGGTGCTGCAGCTCTTTAGCTCACACAGCTTTTCGTAAATCTTTATCATCTGGAGGAAGAGGAGGACAGAAGAAGAGGTGTGACTTGTCTGTGTCTATAATCAGTGGAGCCCTGAGCCTGATCCAGCTGCAGGCTGACCTTGCGTTTCAGCTTGTGTTCTTGGATGTATAAAGAGTCCTCCGCTCCCAAGTCGTCTAAATTCAGCTCGGCGTGCTGCAGGCGGTAGATCTCGTCGTTGTACACCTTCAGCAGGTTCTCCAGGTACGCTATCTGAGAGAACACGAGGAAAGACCTGATGGGTGAGGTCAGTCTGTCTACATGACTCAGCAGTTTAGACGGCTCGTCCTGAGTGATTTTACTGCCTCAAGATGCATGTTGGGAATGAAAGGAAATAAAAGAGTAAGGTGTGATTGGTTAATGGTTTCTAAGTTGCTAAGTAAAGTACTCACACTGACAAACGAGTAACCTTAGTGACAGGATTAAGAGGGGGAGAAATCAAACTGTTTATCTGACGTTTTTCACTAACTCAATATCGCTGACTCATACAGGGGTTGTTTGGACTTTGAGCTCATTTATAAAACCTAATTCTCTCTAGTGGGATTTTTTTCCTGACTTTTATGAAAAGCACTTCATAAACACTGAAGAAACTTGAAAAGTGCGTAAAAATCACATTTCTGATTGTTATTCTCAACAGCTGAATTTGTTTTAAAAACATAATTACACACATTTATCATCATATAGTGTTTTCCAACACTAACCTGTTTCCTGGATGCCCTCTTGGCCCTTTTCTGGGCTTCCTGGTCCTCCCTATTGTCGCCCTCCTGCAGCCCAGAGGTGGAAGGTTGCTTATCCTCCGCTGCCGGGTTCGCCGCTTCCTCCTCTTTAGTCCCGTCTTTCCTTTTGGGCAAATCGGAGGTAAACTGTAGAGTACTTGATGAGGTAGAAGGGCCGGCTTGGACCTTAGTGAGGGTCTGCCTCCTCTTCACAGCGTGCTGCCTGAGTGCAGTGCACAGTTCATTGATGTACACAAAGGCTTTGGACCGGTTGGCCTGAGTGCGAGTCAAACATCGGCCCAAGGTGTTCCTGAACTCCACGGATGACAGGTACTCTGGGGAGGCCTTGGCATGCTTGGTCTGGAGGAAGGTCAAGACTTCGGGGCAGCTCTGGGTGAGACTGGAGCAGTGCTCCACAAACTAGGAGGGAGGAGTAAATAAAGCACCAACCATGAGAAGAGGAGAGAGAAAGATCAATGCAGCTCGTGTGTATTGATCATTTTTCCCAATAGTTACGATGGATTTGTGCAGATCCACAAAAACATCACAGGGTTCAGAGATCAATGCAATTAAAAGTGAGAGATTCAAGCCAAGCATGTATACTTTGGACTTTTACATTGGTCTAGAGCTGTGCCACGCTAACACTTATTTTGTTGAGGCCACACTCAGTTATTACGCTCACCTCGGTGAACAACCTCTGATTCTCAGCCTGCAGAACGTGCTTGTCCTTCTTCGCGGAGGCAAAAGGCGACTGGGTGATGTGTGTAGCGGCAGGCTGCTGGGCTCTGGGAGGAAAGGCCTCTTTGGCATGTTTTTGAGAGGACGAGACGGAGGACGAGCAGGTGGGCCGAGGACTCTCCTCTTCATCGTCGTCATCATCATCCAGGACAATGATCTTATCCGCCATAAAAGCGGGAGCTACCGCCATCCAAAACGTTGGCGATTTCTGCTTCTAGAAAAGAAAAACAGGAAGAATGTTGATCAGGAGTAAGATGTCAAATATGCATGAATGTGGAAGATCAAACAACGGGACATGTGCAGGGTTCCGGTGGAAGATGAGGGAATGGTGATTTAGTGCCAGAACCGATATACATGTTGTATTGTAATATAAATACGCTATATCCAAAGCTGTATGATGCACGTCGTGGATTAATACGGCTTCTGAAATGCAAAGTAGCTTTAAATAGAAACAATACAAATACTTTCTCTTGAGACTGCGACAAGTATTCACGTATTCAGCCCATCGGACCATAAACATGAGATATTGTACGAGCCGGTACTCGATGCACATGCACGCTGCTCGGAGGGAAACCAGCCGGCTCCGTGCGCGTGCACACCGGCCCCGCCAACAAAGCCGCGTGAGACCACCTGTAGGTGGACTGTAGCCGGCGCTGTGGTGCGTGTAGCGACATGGTACATTTCTAATAAGGGGGGATACTTTGGCGTTTCTTGTGTGTCGCGCTTCACAGACGTCGACGTATTTGTTGTTTATACAAAGAGGCTTCAGGGCTTCGAGCCGCCGATAACACGGAACCGGTAATGGTCCGTCTGGGTTAGGTTGTACTTCATATTGACACAGTAAAATAAACTGAAGGACGGCCGTATGTCTGAGAATGCTTGGCTCTTTATTAAGGCATGATAGATGCCTTAAGAGGCGGTTTAAGAGGAGGAACTAACAGCCGGTGACGGTACGTGATGAAGCTTGGTGCCACACTAACGTTAGCTTCACTACAGACAAACAGCTATCATTACGAAATAAAGGTTTAAACTGTCAGACATTACGACACACTCACACACGACTTACCTCTTGTTAGGAGCCTTTTGGCGTGAAGATGAAAGAAAGAAGTTTCACCACAACGCACCATTAAAATTCTGTGTTCAGTTGTGCTAACGTAGCATTAGCTAGCTAGTTAGCATTGTGACAAGTAGCGTTAAGTGCGCGAAGTAAAGAAATAACGAGCTGGAAGCAAAGCCAGTGTTTTTTTAGCGCATAAATTAACCCAACGACACTATAACAACAAATACACGATTGTATTTAAAACCATGTTTAATCCCACTTTCTACCAAAGTAGTATTCATCAACTTCGCTAAGCGGTCGACTCGAAATCGCAAGGCTTGTCGAAAGCGCACCGATCGTCATACCAGCAACGACGCCTCTGATTGGCTCATAGATGTTGTTTGGTCAGTAACGTCATTAGCCATTGGGTGACGTGTTCACGTTGATTACAGTTGATGTATTTAGATGTCTTATTTAAAACAAACGTCAGCAAGAAAGAAATACATTACAACTATATACAGATGATTATACGTACGTATAACGTAAGGTTGAATAATGACTCTGTATCAAACACACATTTCCAATTTAAAACTAAATAGGAGGACATAAATAACAACAATAATATTTTGAAGATAAATGGAGCCACCATGAGCACGATGAGTTTGCTGTTTTAGATGTCAAATTCAATTAATTTGATTATTATTTCTCCCAAAAGTTATAATGATTGATAATAACAAACCATAAATGTATAGTGACTTTATAACTCTACAGGATCGTCGGTCAAATTACACCTCACAGACCTTTGGGCCAAGTTCATCACAAATACTTTACTTCACCAAGAAAATAGCTGACATACGCTCCTCCTTCTCAAACCCACCACCTACTTCTCGCGTCCCACCGACCTCACCTCTTTCGCCCTCACTTCCCTCTTTCACCGCCCTCTCTCCTAACCAAATTCTTACCCTAGTAACCTCTGCCCGTCCGACCACCTGCCCTCTTGACCCCATTCCATCACATCTTCTACAATCTATCGCACCTGACCTTCTTCCGTTCCTCACCTGTCTCATCAACAACGCTCTGTCATCTGGCTGTTTTCCCAATTCTCTGAAGGAGGCAAGAGTCAACCCTCTCCTGAAGAAACCCACCCTCAACCCTTCTGAAGAAAACAACTACAGACCAGTCTCTCTTCTTCCCTTCTTGTCCAAAACCCTTGAACGTGCTATCTTTAATCAACTCTCCTCTTATCTCCACTGTAACAACCTCCTTGACCCCCACCAGTCAGGTTTCAAGGCAGGCCACTCCACAGAGACTGCTCTCCTTGCTGTCTCTGAGCAACTCCACACTGCTAGAGCCGCCTCTCTCTCCTCTGTCCTCATCCTTCTGGACCTCTCTGCTGCATTTGACACGGTCAACCACCAGATCCTTATTTCCTCCCTTCAGGAACTTGGTGTCACAGGCTCTGCTCTCTCCCTTCTCTCGTCCTACCTCGATGGCCGCACCTACCGGGTAACCTGGCGAGGATCTGTGTCGGAACCGTGTCCTCTTACTACTGGAGTTCCTCAGGGTTCCGTGCTGGGTCCCCTCCTGTTTTCGCTTTACACCAACTCTCTTGGCGCTGTCATTCGCTCGCATGGCTTCTCTTACCACAGCTATGCCGATGACACCCAACTAATTCTCTCCTTCCCTCACTCGGACACCCAGGTGGCGGCTCGGATCTCTGCCTGTCTAACTGACATCTCTCAGTGGATGTCCGCTCACCATCTGAAAATCAACCCCGACAAGACTGAACTACTTCTCTTTCCCGGAAAAGATTCGCTTACCCAGGACCTGACAGTCAACTTTGGAAACTCCGTACTAACGCCCACTTCGACTGCTAAGAACCTCGGCGTCACACTCGACAGCCAACTCTCCCTGACTCCCAACATCACTGCGACAACGCGATCCTGTAGCTACACGCTCTACAACATCAGGAGAATACGTCCCCTTCTCACTCAGAAGGCAGCGCAGGTACTGATTCAGGCTCTTGTCATCTCCCGCCTGGACTACTGCAACTCCCTCCTGGCAGGTCTCCCTGCCACCGCCATTCGACCTCTGCAGCTCATTCAGAATGCAGCAGCTCGACTGGTCTTCAACCTTCCGAAATTCTCCCACACTACTCCACTCCTCCGCTCTCTTCACTGGCTACCGGTGGCCGCCCGCATCCAGTTCAAAACACTGGTGCTCACATACCATGCTGTGAATGGATCGGGTCCAGCTTACATCCAGGACATGGTCAAACCCTACATCCCAACCCACACTCTCCGCTCTGCATCTGCAAAACTACTCGTCCCTCCCTCACTGAGAGCAAAACACTCGACTAGGTCTCGACTCTTCGCTGTCCTTGCGCCGAAATGGTGGAACGCGCACATTCACATCTTCCGCCGCAAACTAAAGACACACCTCTTCAGACTCTACCTCGACTAAAGACTAACAAATTGTAGCACTTAAATTGTACTTGTAACGTCACTCATCTATAGCAAATTGTAAATTGGCTTATTTGAGGAAATTGCACTTTCTTGTTTCTTGTTCTCCTGAGTTTGTACCCTATGGTTGAATGCACTTATTGTACGTCGCTTTGGATAAAAGCGTCAGCTAAATGACATGTAATGTAATGTAATGTAAAATAAATGCACTCATAACCATTTTCAGTTTATTTTCCACACCAACAGGCTTGATTATCATTTTAAAACAGGAAACTACAGGCAACACGTTTAAAGAAATGTAGAAATATTTGAATTCAAATGCACACTAATTATAATCGGAATTAAAACACAAATTTAGAATTTCTGTGCGGTAGAACTATGTGCTGTTTTTAATTTCCTCAAAACTCAATATTTACAAAAAGAGGATTCTGTTTGTGGGTTTTGACAGTTTAGTCTAATATTAACTCTTCTGTCCTGTACTATTTACCAAATATTATTTTCTTGAATATAAAGGAGAATCATATAGAAGCATTAACATCTTTCACTATATTACGTCAAAACTCCTCTAAGTTTTGGGCACCTTTCAAGTGTCAGTGACAAGATTTAGTCTGAGAGCAGTGGGAGGCCGATATGATAAAACAGCTGTATCGCTTTAAAGTGAAAGACATAACAACAATAATAAGAAACAAAAAACATTCTTGGACTGAGCCGAAGCCTTCCTCACTGATGCCTTAGTAGAACCAAAAACAGGCGGCTCGGTTGGTTCTGTTTCACACGTCCCAGCAGTGGATTTCAGTCTTCTTTACTTGTCCTTCTGTAAGTGGAAGCAGTAGAAGTCGTTATTGAACTGAGACGTACAAAACAACTACGAGGTTCCAGGGTTATAAAAGCGTATGAGTGGACCAGTGGTCTGTGTGGAAGCATCCAGAATGATACATTTGTGATTAGTTAATAGTTTAAAAAGTATCATTACCTTTTCTCGTTGACCAGCCTCATCTGAGCCTGTGTGCAGTGAAAAGACACAAATGGATTAAAAACATCTTCATCAATTTTATTAAATGAAAATGCTGAGACAGAATCAACCTGTCTGGTAGTTTCAAATAAATAAATGGGTCAATCAATTATTAGCTCATTACGTGGCTTTCTGTCGGCGTCCTTTGTTACCTGAGCTGGTGACGGTCCAAGAGACAAACTTGATGAGACCGTAGAGCACCAGCGCTACACCGACCATTGCCATGGAGTCCTCGATGGACGGGGAGCTGAACCCTGACAGGACGAGAGACGAGTTCAAGCCTTAAATACGTCCTGCACGTTGACGTCCATCTTAGTCGTTGAGCTTGATTCAAGTCATTTATTTTATATTCCATCGCATGTAGCAGATGTGTTGAAATGTTTCTGCAAGTTTTACGTTCACTTACGTTCCTTTTCTAATTCAACCAACAGAAAAATCCCCACCTGGCCTCTTTTTATTAAACAAAGTCCACTAAACAAGCTTAACGAATGACTCAGTACATTCTTCAGCATTACCAATGACGTTGAGGGTCACGCTGGCCCGCCGTGTGCCCCCGAGATGGACGGACACACAGGTGACCTCCCCCCCTCGGCCCAGGTCCAGCTCGGCGGAGTCGAGCTCCAGCCGGGTGCTCTGGCTGTAGGTTCCGTCCCAGGCCTGCCGGTGTCCCGTTAGGCTGCCCGACCCCAGAGGCCTGGACTTCCCATCGGTGCCTTTGAACTCCCAGCTCAGCTCCAGGGCGAGGGGGGCGAAGCCGGACGCCTCACACTGGACCGTGAAAGACTGGCCGGGGACTGCGAGGGGCAGAGGGGACGGGTGGATGGAGAGGGACGGAGGTTCTGGGTAAAAGAGGGAAAAGAGCAGAGGAGCAAAGACAAAAAGAGACAGTGAGAGAACGTTGATCACAATGTGGTCCGATGGAATCTCGGTTCTTCAGCAGCTTCTGAACTCTTCATTTCCAAATGAAAAATGTCTTTATCCACCAGCAGTTTCCCTCACCGACGACCTGGAGCTCCATCGTCACCTGAGCCACGAGGTAGGGCAGATACACCGTGCAGATATACAGCCCCGAGTGACGCACTTTAGCCTCCCGCAGGATCAGCGACGCATTCCCTCTCTGGTGCAGGCCCTCATAGTCCAGCGTGGCCCCCTCCTCTTGGACGTCGGCCAGGCGGTCCGTTTTGCCGTCGTAGGCCAGAACCAAGCGGCCGTCCCCTCTGAACTGGTAGCGCCACTCTACGGCGAAACCCGACCCGGAGAGAGGCGACGAGGGGTCGGCCCAGAGGCCGCAATCCAGCAGCACTGGCCCCCCGAGTCTGGACTGCACGGAGACGGTTGTAGTGGTCACACTCAGGACCACTGAGGAGACAAAGAGTCGATTACATTTTGAGTGTGGAACAGAAATGGTCTTTTGGACTCGTCTCCTGGGTCATGAGTCATTACCTTGGTGCTCTTTGGTTGCCGTGGGAGCACGAGTGATGGTGGAGACGGCCAGCTGTCCGCTGAGGCCCTGGAGGGCAGTGGAGAATCAATCGGCCTGCAGGTAGATGGGGCTGGAGGCGGAGTCTGTGAGTGGAGATGCCCACTTGAGTGTGGAGGGCTGCGGCAGGAAGGGGTTGATCTCACACTGAGGCTTCTCCACCGAGCCTCTGGGAGGGTTGAGAGAGCGGTGGCAGAGAGTGCCGGCTGGGTCTGAGGAGGTCGTTGTGGTTAACAGCAGGTTTACAGATACTCAAACTATTGCTACTTTATAAAAACAGAGAATCTAAAGAGGGAGATTAATACTACGCCTGCTTAAAAAATGTGTACTGATAGTTTTTTCCTTTTCTGATTCCTTCTTAATCATTTACCAAATTCCTGGCTGATAAATTCAAGTCTGGAGGAAAAGAATGGTGTAATTAAGCAACA